AAAACTGCATGACAGTGAGTGTAAACACACAACATGGAAGGGTGTTTTTCAGCTTCTACTGAGTCAGAGTTTTAAACACACGAGGTATGAAGGGTGTGCTTGAGCAAGAATTGCCCTCCTGTTCCTTTTTTCTACATCCTGGACATTCCCCTAACTCTTGCAATCTGCTTGTTGGTGAGTCAGCTGCCCACTGGTTCCTTTAGTGGTCACAAATAAATAAGATTTTCTTCTGAGCTGCACCTGCTTGAAGCTGATCATATGGTGCCATGCCAAGGAAACAGACCTTCTGGTTCACTAATAAGCTCCACTCACCAACCAGCAAATGGGAGGGGTTGGAGATCCACGTCTAAGAAACCTCTTGCACCAGGCCATTTGATGAGTTTCCTGGTTGTTGAGCACCTGGAGAGGCTGAGAGTGAGTGGTGGGCCCAGAGAGAACACGGGGACTCTGGCCTACTCTGTCATTGCTTCATCTGGATGGTCAACTCTATTCTTTATAGAAAAAGCAGTAAGCCTAAATCATTTTCCTAAGTTCTAGGAACCATCTCAGCAAATTATTGTAGAGAAGTTTTTGGTTTGTTTTTAAAGGTTGGTTTGTTTATTTATTTTCTTATTTGGAAGGCAGCTTACAGAGAGACAAAGAGAAAGAGATCTTTCTTCCACTGGTTCACTTTCCCAAATGGCCTGACAGCTGACACAGCCAATCCGAAGCCAGGAGCCAGGAGCTTCTTCCAGGTCTCCCATGTGGGTGCGGAGGCCCCAGGACTTGAAGCATGCTCCACTGCTTTCCCAGGCCACAAGCAGGGGCTTGGATCAGAAGTAGACCAGTTGGACTGCTCCTATGGGAGTCCAGTGCCACAGGCAGAGGGTTAACCTGTGGAGAAGTTTTTCATTTACTCTTTTCTTTTGAAGGGTTGCGTGATTTTAGTCTGTAATGCAAACTGATAGCAGATAATATATAAAAACAATCTGCAGCTTTTATTATATGCCTGAGGCATGCAATGTGAAACTTCCTGAGGAGCAGGATGGCCCAGCCTCACCCAGAAGCTAGAGGAACAAGGGTGGAGAAGGGAAGTGGTCCAAGCTATGGAAGAAGGGGGAAGTGGGCCACAGCAACCAAGGGCTGTCTTATTAGGTAAATAACAGGTGACAGTCACCTGTGGTCATCTGTTGGGACCAGGTTAGCAGCCTCCATTCTCTTCTTGAATTAAGATCTTCTTGAGGGCCTGGCATGGTAGCCTAGTAGTTAAAGTCCTCGCCTTGCATGTGCTAGAATCCCATATGGGCACTGGTTCCTACTCTGGTTGCTCTACTTCCCTTCCAGCTCCCTGCTTGTGGCCTGAGAAGGCAGTCAAAGACGGCCCAAAGCCTTGGGACCCTGTGCCTGCTTGGGAGACCCAGAAGAAGCTCCTGGCTCCTGGCTTCAGATTGCCTCAGCTCTGGCTATTGTGGCCACCTGGGGACTGAACCAGTGGATGAAAGATCTTTCTCTCTGTCCCTCCTGCTCTCTGTACAATGACACTAAATCTTTAAATCTTTAAAAAAATCTCGGGTAGAGAAGAGGGATAGCATGTATGAATGCCCTGCCTGCCTCTACTCTGTACTAATATACATGTAACTATTTTATGAACAGATAACTTTTCAGAACAGAAATCTGCAGTTTTTCCAAATTACCAACTTGAAATAAGCCAAAGTAACATATTTAGGGTGGGAGAACGTATTCTCTCCTATGCCCAGACCCCACAAGGAACTTTGCAGAAGCTCCAGTTTAGGGCCAAGATGTGTAATTGGTGTCTAAAGTGTGCAAATAGTGCCTTGGGAGTGTGCACTCAACCTGCGGAATCTGGCTGTGGCCGCAGATGGGCAGTGTCAATGCTGACCTGGGTCGGAGGCCATACCCTTGCCGTCTGCTGGAGAACTGCTTGGTGTATGCTTAACCCACCCCCAACCTCACACCCCCACCGCAGCATATCTAGTCACAGAAGTGTTCTGTCTTGTGTATCAGAGAAAACTTTTTTCTTTTATTTCTTATTTCTTGAAAAGGCAGAGTTGCAGAAAGACAGAGTGTTGTAGGGTTTTTGACCCCGAATATGGCGGCAACCTTAATTCTTGTCTCGCATGAAAGAAGAATTTTCATGTGGACACAGTTTAGTTTTAAAGTAAGACTTATTAGAAAAAGTTGAGAAAGGAGACTCCCGTCCTAGTGACGGGAGGGGGCTTTGAGATCCTCTGCCATAGTGGCAGGAGGAAAAGTAAAAAAGACCCATACTAATGGTGGGAAAGCATCTTTTAAAGGTTTCCCTCAAAGATGTTTCTCCATAAACAAAGAAAATTCCTGGTTCCCATGGTACCTGGCCTTGGGAGAAAAGGCCAGAAAGGTGTCACTGGCCAATTTCCTTGGTCCCTTTCTAATGATAAGAGGCCAGTCTGAAGCCCTCCCCTTGGCAACGGCCAGGAGACAGAATGAGGCTGAGGCTTCAGGTGGAGAATAGATGTGTTAATGGCGCCCTTGTCCCTTGGGGAAGCATTCCTGATCAGACATGCACTTGTCTCAGGAGAGACGTGCTCTGGTGAATTCAAGACATGGTGGGGAAAATACCTCTTTATATTTGAGCAAATAATGATGACTTGGGGACCCAGAGTACCCTAACTGCCTACTACCCAGTCTAATTCCTCTCACAAGAGGAAGAGGGGGAGAGAGAGAGAGAGAAAGGAAGAAATTGGTACCAGAAATGAAGAAGCAGAGGTGGGTGTTTAGCTCAGTGGTTGAGGTGCTGCTTGGGTTCCCCGTCCCCCCACTCCCCCACCGGAGCACCGGAGTCCCTGGCTCCCACCCAGGTTCCTGCTCATGTGCCTAGGAAGCAGCAGATGGTAGCTCCAGTGTTTGAGTCCCTGTCACCTCCGTGAGAGAACAGGATGGAGTCCCTGGTTCTTGGCTCCAGCCTGGACAAGCCCAGGCTGCTACAGCCATTTGGGGACTGATTCAGCCATCACTGTGCCATCCCCAAAATGAACCTTTTTTTTTTTTTAAAGAGCTTTAAGTAAGGAATGCATGATAAAGCATGAAAGCGTGCTGAGGTTGGACCAGGCATTTAGGGCAGCTGTTGAGACCCTGCTTGCATGCTACATCCCGTTTGGAATTCCTGGTGAGTCCTGCCTCTGCTCCCACTCACAGCTCCCTGCCAACCATCAGCCTAGGAAAGTCTGGCTTTCTTCTTCTTCTTCTTCTTCTTTGTTTTTTTTTAAGATTTATTTATTTTTATTACAAAGTCAGATATACAGAGAGGAGGAGAGACAGAGAGGAAGATCTTCCATCTGAGGATTCACTCCCCAAGTGAGTGCAACGGCTGGTGCTGCGCCGATCCGAAGCCGGGAACCAGGAACCTCTTCCGGGTCTCCCACACAGGTGCAGGGTCCCAAGGCTTTGGGCCGTCCTCGACTGCTTTCCCGGGCCACAGGTAGGGAGCTGGATGGGAAGTGGAGCTACTGGAATTAGAACTGGCACCCATATGGGATCCGGGGCACGTTCAAGGTGAGGACTTTAGCCTTTAGGTCACGCTACCGGGCCCTGCAAGTCTGGCTTTCAAATAAAATAAGCAAGTCTTCTCTTTAAATTGATTGTAAAAGTGATAGCCAAGAAAAACCACAGCTCTGAAGAAGATAGGAGAGCTTGTCCTGTTGGATATCAAAACGTCCTCTAAGGCCTAGAACCCTGTGGCCCAGCAACTCCTCTAGTGTTTATGGGTTCATAAATAGAAAGCCAACATTTAATAATACCAAAAAACAAAAATAAAATAAAAAAAGAAAGTCAACATTTAAATTAGACTCAGTGGATTTATATCCAGTAGATCATAATGATTGCTTCAAGAGGGAAAAGTAGAATGGGATTTAGAATAATGGGAATTACAGCTTTTTAGGTAATATTCCTATTTTAAAGGCATTGGAAACAGACATGACAGATCTGAATTCTGGGCCATGGTAACTGATAGAAATTTTTTTTCAAAAAAAAAGTACTTGTCTAATGATCGAAGCAAGAGCAGAAATGCTTTTCTGAGCCTTGCAGGTTTCTCCAAGAGGAGAGGTTGCCACCTTGGCATCTTGGTAACTCAGTTTGCTAGAAAAAACACTTTTCTAGAACCTAGCAGTATCTCATAAGGATCAAGAAATACCAGTCCGACCTATTTGCCTTCTGAGCTGGACTTTGCAATGTACTTACTCAGCCTAAGCTCACCCTGACTCCCCCTGGGCTGGCTTCACTCAATCTCTTTATCGGCCCCAAGGACTTGCTCAGTAGCACGCAGCCACCAGTGCCCAGCCCCTTTCTCTATTGTAAATCTATTCTGCACCCAGCTAACACCACCTCCACTTTGTTTTCAACTGCATTTATGATTTCTTGGTTTACAGTAGGTAGGATACACAAGTTGTCTTGTATCTGCATTCTTTAAGCTTGTCAAAATCAAAAGCTAGCTTTGTATTTTCAGGATAGAAGCCAAAAAGTTTATACTTATATTTGCCATTTGCTGACATTTTGTTATTTATTTTTATTGGAAAGTCAGCTACACAGAGAGAAGACAGATTTCCAAGTGGCCGCAATGGCCCGGAGCTGAGCTGCTCCGAAACCCGGAGCCTCTTCCGGGTCTCCCACGCGGGTGCAGGGCTTTGGGTCCCACTCCACTGCTTTCCCAGGCCACAAGCAGGGAGCTGGATGGGAAGTGGGGCGGCCGGGATTAAAACTCGGGTTTGTAAGGGACTCTGCGCCGTGCGCGAGCCCGACCCCGGCGCGGCGGACGAACTCCCGCCCCTGCCTGGCCGCGCGCGCCCGCTTCCCGTGTCCCCGCCCACCCCCTGACGTAGGCGGGCGCGCGCGACCTCGGCCCCAATCGGCGGAGGCGACGTGTGCGCCTAAAAGCCCGGATGAGCCGCGGCTTCCGGCGCGCTCCCCTTGGGCGCTAGGGGGCGTGCGCCGCGGGGCTTGGCGCGAGGCCTGCGAGGCCTGCGAGGCCTGCGAGGACGCCGACTGCGAGTCTGGGGAGGCTCGGCGTGACTGCCAGGACTATGAAGTAAGACGCGGAGGCTGAGGGACGGCCTGGACTCCCCCTGCCCGCCTCCAGGTTCGGGTCCTGCCGCTTTCGCCGCTCGGACTCGGCGCGTCGGGGCCCACCCCGGGGCTCGGCCCCGCTAGTGCAATGGTGGCTGAGGTCCGGGGCGCCGGGCGTCCTCGCGCCCCGTGAAGGCCTGGGGAGAAAGCCTCGAGCGCCGCCCGCTTCCCCACCTCCCTCTCCCAGCTCTAGGTGCTGGAGCCCCCGCACGGTAAGGAGCTGCTTCCGGCCGGGACGAGGCGGGGGTGGTCCGTCGCGCGCCGGGGCTCGTGGCGGGGCCGCCCCAAGCTCGCTTCCATCGCGGGGTGTGCGCGCAGCCATCGTGGCGGTTGGGGCGCGGGGCACGTGACCCGGCGGACGGCTCTGCTGGCGGGAGGCCCGGGGGTGGCCGCCTGGAGGAGCAGGGGCGGAGTCTGGGCCCGGGCGTGGGGCGGGGGTCTGCCCTGGACCCCGGGCTGCGGGCCACGAGGGCCGGGGGCTCCGCAGGAGGAGGAGGGACAGGTGTCTGAGCGCCGCGTCCATCCGGCCGGGATGTGGCTGGCTCCGCCGGCGGGTTGACTCAGCTGTTCCCGATGGGCTGGTCAAGTTCGGACACGTTCCGAGCCTGCCCTCGCAGGAGCTAAGCCCTGACTTGCCTCCAGCTGGGGCTATTTAAACCGGGACTTTTTCCCCCCAGCCGCGTTCGCCCGCCAAGGGGAGAAACACCTGTGTTCGGTACCCATCCAGGTGAGCAGTTAGCTGGCTACCAGGGCGAGCGTAGGTTGGAGGCATTATTTCTCTCCTTGACTTGCCGTGGTTTGTTTGTTTTTTTTTTCGCAGATATTTCTTTGTTCCAAGGTTTTATCGTGTGTGTTTTCTTCCTGCTTGTAGGCAAATGTGCAATACCAACATGTCTGTGTCCACTGACGGTGCTGTAAGCACCTCACAGATCCCAGCTTCGGAGCAGGAGACCCTGGTTGGTATTCTTATCGCAAGTGTAACTTCTGGAAGATGTGTTAGGAGTTGGTGGACTGGCCTTATGGTTTGGCGCTAAGTGCAGTTGTGTGTCGGGAGCTTCGTTTCTGCGATCCCAGGCATAACTGAGCAGGAATTCGTTGTAAGCCCTTCGACTTTCCAAGGGCTTTCACAGTCCTTTGGGTGTGTTTGAGCGTGCACGCTGGTTATGTTGTGTGCGCGGTGGGTTTCTTATTTTGACCCGTCAGCAGGTTTTTTTTTTTTTTAGTGGTTCCTAAAACTCGCAGAAATAATTCTAGCTTGCTATAAAGAGTATTAGGCAGAAATGTATGAAGGAAAAACTAAAAATTCCACTCTCTATCTTGTGTGTATCTTATTTTTTGTTTACTTGCCTGCATTAACCCGTGAACTTAAATTGGTTTTAAACGCTCTTAAAGTTCTTTACCGTCACTTAAAGGTCTTCCATTCTTATGCACAGCTGATTTCCGCTCGGCCAGTCCTGTTTTCACCATTCAGGTCCTTTGTTCCCACATGGTAGGAACGGGAATGGGGGGTGGAAGAGACACATCTCCTGCCTTGGTGGCAGGATGGGGGACTGCCAGGGCAGGGGAAGGGCGCAAGGTGGAGGAGAGGGAGAGCCAGGTAAGAAGGGGAGAGAGAGGGGGTACACGTGGAGACTCACTGATATAAAACAGGTGAGGCTGCAAGGTGTGGGGGTGCCTTGGTTGGGAGGAGGGGCTGTGAGCCGCTGGTAGGTGGGTGGGCACTAGAGATGAGGGGGTGGGGGTAAGGATTCTCAGTGAGGTTACGTCTTGTTGCTGGGTTACTGGAGGGGGCGCACACTTCGGGAAAGGGGAAACAGTAAGTGTGGCTGGTTCCAAGATGGAACGTTCAAATCACTCCTCACACTGTTAGTTTCTAAAACTGGATTAAACTAATGTTAAATGGTTTGCAACCTTTTTCCAAAAAAATGTTAGAACTTGAATCTTGTTGAACACTTTAAAGCACTAAAAAGTCCTAAACTATACACACCTGGTTGCTGCTGATAAGTTGCTCAGGCAAGGTTTTTACTCCTGCCAAATTGAATTAGTAATCTAAATTCCTAGTATGCTGTCATCCTAAGATATTGTGCTGTTATTTAAATTTGCTTTGCGAGTGTCTGGTGATACTAATCACTTATTTAAATTAATGTTTATCCCTAATGTTTGCCTGGTTTTGTCTATTGTTTGCTTTTTGTATTTTTTAAAGATGTTTTCTGTTTCAAATCTTGTTTGTAAATGGTACGTTTATAAGATGTTGTGTTTTCTCTAATCAGATTTTAAAATTTTGAATTTCCTATACTTTGGAAGAACTCTGCCATTTCTAAGATAATGCACCTGTGTTGCTCTATTTTTTTTTTGTATTAACAATTTTTAATGTTTAGATTTTTCACCATGGTTTTACTTTTTCTTGAATAAAAGATGAATGGTGTTCTTTTATAATAGTTTTAATATTACTGAATATTTTTTAAGTCCCATGCCAATGAATGTCTTTCCATTAATTTTACTTTAGACTTTATGTAATTTGAAACTTCATACAAATTCAAGGGGTACTTGAATTTGGCAGCACAAATCCCACTGTTGGTATGATAGAGAATATTAACATGGTCCCTGACCAAAGAAGACATACAAGTCTTTGAAGAAAAAAAAAATGACAAAGTCATTTCTTTAATCTGAGATTTTATCCTGTAGCCTAAATGCTAGGGTATAAATAAGCACATTTTTAAAAAGTGACCAGGAGGTAATTATTAGATTATGTGTTTGTGGTGTATTTTGTCTTTGATTACTGAGTAATTTTTCTCACTAATCCAATAGGAAACAGGTAGTTTTCTTAAGTCTGGTTTTGAGAGAGATCCCTCAAAGTGATGGTGTCAGACCTTAGAGGTAGACCTAGAATGGAGTCCTTGGGAGAAGCGTGGAAGTACCAGGCTGTGGCCTGTTGGTGAGCTCCGAGGGCTGTGAGGTTTGCAGGAAGGGAGACCTCCCCCCTCCCAAACCACTGCCACACTACTACGTCTGGTTCAGGTTTGACCTGCTGGCAGGTTTTGCAAATAAAATTTTACTGTAATGCAGCCATGTCTATTGGTTTATGAAGTGTATGCTTTTGAATTGAACAGGCCATTTGGCATGGAAAGCTTAAAATAGTTACTGTCTGGCTCTAGTTGGCAGGGTGCTTGAATGCGGGTCATGTCCTCTCCCTCTCTCAACCATAGCACTATCCAGTGCGTAGTAGAACTCAGGAATGTTTGCCAAGTGGGTATCAAAGTTAGTCACCTAGGAAAAAAAAACCTCTGAGTTGTGGTCTCATTTGCCCTTACCTATTCTTGTCATCCTGGATTAGACTTCAAGGCCTAATCTGTAGGAGAGCCATACTAGGATTTATTGTAATTCTCTTGGGCTCTCTGCTTCGTAGTTTACAGGAAGCTGATTGGCCTTGTGTAGTTTAGTCATCTCTGCGCTCAACCATTTATGGTTGTGAGGCAGTAAGCCTGTGCTAGAACCAGCTGGAGGGAAAAAACTTTTCATTGTTGGCATGGGTACTATTTTATTAGCAACCAGCAGGTTTTCCCAACTCCTCTTGAACATCTGTGGCATTTGGTTCTCCTAGTGTGTTAAATTTTTATTAAAACACTAGAACTTCCTACTTGAGTTCTAATTTTGTGAAATTGTTCAATGTGATATCTGCTACCTTTCTTTACTGAACTTTATGAACAAGTTTGCTGCAGGACTTAGTGTTTGGGAAGTTTCTGAAATGTAATAGTGCTTTTTTTCCTCTTTATAGGTTAGACCAAAACCATTGCTTTTGAAATTGTTAAAGTCTGTTGGTGCACAAAAGGACATTTACACCATGAAAGAGGTAAGCCAAATTGAGAGATGGAGATAATTGATGTCTTACTAGTTAGGTATGTAGCCATACTTAGTTTTTGAGACTATGAGGGAAATTTATCTTACATAGATTTTTTTTTTTTTTTTTTGATACATGGCAAAATATCAGGTTTTGCAGTTATTTCAGCTGTGTTTTGAAACTGAAAGTTCTAATTATACATGTTTCATTTCTCGGCTGGGAAATCAGACATGGGGAACCCTGAGAAGACTTTGGCCATTTTTGTGTTGTAAACCAGTTTGGCTGACTGGCCAAAGCTGCCTCATCCTAATAATTTCTTCTCAGGATTCATGAAGTAAAAACCAACATTTGGCAATCAGACACTAGGCTATAATATAGTTTTCAAAACAGTGAGCAAGAGTGTAATGTATGTGCTTCTGAAAAAAGAAGAAAAAAGATTGATTTTGAGAGGGAGGGAGCTACCATCTACCGGTCATTCCCCAGGTACCTGCAAGAAGCAGGGAGAGCCAAGAGCTGGGAACTCGGGCCAGATGTCCCACGTAATGGCAGGGCCCAGTTTCTGAAGCCTGTCCATTGGCTCTTGACTGGGGGGAAGGTTGAGCCCAGACAGGCAGATGTAGGGCACGGATGTGATGGGTGCAGGCCTGATAACCTGTGGCTTTAGCACCTGCCGCATATGTGCTTTTAAAATGAACACATGAGATGCTCAAGTTTAGCAGCTTACCTAATGAGCACAGTTTCAATGTGGTAAGAAATAGTAAGCAATATTTTGAGATGTTGAGCATAAGCATAGTATTTGTCATAAAATAATAGGTACTGCTTAATGCTGTTATGATTTATTGCCTGCATTAATGATTGAAAGAAAAGCTGAATTTCAGAAGGTAATGATAAAGACAGAAATACGTATTTTTTCCCCATCCACATTAATGGACCCCCTGTCTATCCAAGGACTCCTTGGGCATCCATGGATCCCCAGGTTAAGAACTTCTGCACTAGAGATACGAGTACAATATACTGTACTGATGTTTCTGGGATAGAGGTGAGCTGATTCACGAACATTTGTAATGGATACAACATTTTGATGTATTGTTCTAGTTTGAAAGTATGCACAGAAATGTGGTTTCCAGTGAGAGATCGGGCCACCTTAGGCACAAACTTCGTTGAGTGAAATGTGCCTGTTCCTTCTCTCCCACTTGGTTTATGGAGTTCAGATGACATGTAATGCTAATGTTAATCTCTTGGATCGGTATAGTGTGAAAGGAAGAGATTCCATACCCTTTTCCTTTTCAACTATACTTTTATTTGTTTAAGGGATTTTTAAAACTTTTTTTATTAAAAATTATTTTGTCTGAAAAGACTGATTTATAGAGGAGAGTTAAGGGGTGTTTAATGGAAGGGATCTAGGTTTTCTTCTCCTGTCCTACTGCTTGTCAGCCATCTTTTCAATAAAGTCAAGGCAGACTATTTCCTTCAGGCTAAAATCCTTGCTAGCTAGTTAAGTGTGCAGACAGTGCTTTCAGGGAAGTGCCAAGTTAAATGGTGTTTTAGGATTGCCAACTTGGGATGGGCTTTACTATGACAATCAGTTAAAACAAAGGTATAATGGCCAGAAATGAGAAAAATCCATCAAGGCTATCATAAGGACTTTGCTTATGTTAAACTGTAGCAGTAACATGGCATGGCCAGTCTTCCTCCGCATCCACACGGGACTTAGAGAACCCCTACGGTCGTGATGCTCAAGCCCCTTATAAAATGGCATATTCGCATACAGCTTCTGCCCATCCTCTTGTATATTGTAAATCATCTCTAGATTACTTGTGATAACACACTGTAAATAGTTATTTATTGTGTTATTTGGAATTGGCAAGAAGAGAAGTCTGTGTGCAGTACAGTTTTTTTAAAAGCCATTTTTGATTTGTGGTTGATGGATATTCTCTGATGCAGTTTTCAGGATCTTTGTCCTGTGGAGCAGTTATAAAGGCTAGTGTAGGCTTGTAGAAAAAGCACTGGACTAGGGGACAGGAAGACCTGGAATCCGTTTCCTTATTTCTCAAGTGTCAGTAATGTGTGAAATAACAGAAGTGTGAGGGTATGTTTGTATAAGTCCATTATAAGCTGTAAAATCCATATGTATTTAAGTGAACTTTAAAATGTGTACACTATCTTAATGGAACACATATAATATAGTACTAATGGTGCAAGTAATTTTGATTACTATAATAAAGACTGTATGATATCTCTGAAAGGTTTATTTCATTTTCTGAATTCTCTGAAACTTACACTGATACTATTAGTCAATTTTTTGTCTTCCTGTTTTGTGATGAATCCAGAAGCTGTTGAAGTGTGTGACATTTGTAACTATTTACTAAATGGCCGCAAATCACTGCCATTGTTATTTTTGATTCTGTCGCTTGCTGCTGCTGTGGGTGGTTTTATGTTTGCTGCATTCCCCCTTCCTAAATATTCTACAAACCTGGGCAGGGTGAAAGCAAGGAAAAAACGGACAGATTTCACTGGTTATTTAATCAGAGAAGCAGTTATTTGAGCACAAGGTGGTGGTGGTGGTTCTGCATGGTTGTCAATGTGGTTGCTGGTAGTTAACCCTCTTGGATAAATGGATATTCGTTAATGTATTAAAAACTAGCATTTCATTGTCTTTAATGCTCTGAAATTCTGTTTCAGGTTATATTTTATCTTGGCCAGTACATTATGACGAAACGATTATATGATGAGAAGCAACAACACATTGTATATTGTTCAAATGATCTTCTTGGCGATTTGTTTGGAGTTCCAAGCTTCTCTGTGAAAGAGCACAGGTAAATTTTAGTTTAGATGCTTGTAAAATGCCAGCCGGGCCAAACATCCAGTTGGCCTGTATGACCCTCATCCTCTTTTCTCAGAGAAAACTTGTTGCTTTATGTGTTCCATATAATTGGTGCTGTAATTTCATTTCTCAGCTCTCTAGCACATTGAGGGCCTAAATCATGGAATCTTGAAAACCTGTGAGTTGCCTACTAGACACATGGGTTGGTAAACCTTACTTTCCCTAATTGTCTTATGTGAAGGTTATAAATAGTTCGTGAAGAGACACTCTTAAGAATGCTGTTTGGTGTGTGGAAAGTGTTAAAACATTAGCCACTTACAAAGGCAGTTTTTTTTGTTAAAAAAAAATATATTTATTGGAAAATCAGATATACAGAAAGATCTTCCCATCTGCTGACTCACTCCCCCAGTGACCGCAATGGCCAGAGCTGAGCTGGTCCGAAACCGGAGCCTCTTCCGGGTCTCCCATGCAGGTGCAGGGTCCCAAGGCTCTGGGCCATCCCCGACTGCTTTCCCAGGCCACAAGCAGGGAGCTGGAAGGGAAGTGGAGAGGCTGGGATTAGAACCAGCGCCCTTATGGGCACCTGGTGTGTATAACATAAGAACTTTGGCTGCTAGGCTACTGTTCCGGGCCCCTTTGTTTTAATTTTTTAAAATATATATCTAATTTGAGGGAACATTGATTTGCTCTCTCACTACTGCCTCAGTGACTGGGGCTTGGTGAAGGTCAAAACTGGAGACAAAAATTCAGTCTTTGTTTCCTATCTCAGTGGCAGAAACCCAGGTGGTCATAACTACCATCTCCCAGGGTTTGCATTGGCAGGAAGCTGGAGTCCGAAATTGGAGTGGGCCTGCCATGATGACCAGGTGGCTCAATCCTTGCCTGGCATGTGCTGGGATCCCATATGGGTGCTGGTTCACGTCTTGGTTGCTCTGCTTCCCCTCCATCTCCCTGCTTGTGGCTTGGGAAAGCAGTCCAGGACGGCCCAAAGCCTTGTGACTGCACCAGCGTGGGAGACACAGATGCTCTTGGTTCCTGGGTTGATCCGCTCAACTTTTGCTGTTGCAGCCACTTGGGGAGTGAGCCAGCAGACTGAAGATCCTTCTCTGTCTCCTTCTCTAAATCTGCCTTTCCAATAAAAATAAATAATAAAGTCTTTTTAAAAAATTAAAGCAAAATACTTGTCCTTTAATAATAAATAATAATAAATACTTGGCTTTAATTTCATCTTCTGATTTAACATTACGTAAGCATCTTTGCCTTGGAGAAGCACTTGTGTTTAATATCCATCTGTGTAGTTTATTTTAAAGAATTACTTATTTTTACTTGAAAGACAATTTCAGAGAGTAGAGAGAGAATGAGCGAGGGAAAAGAGAGGGAGAGATCTTTCATCTGGTGGTTCACTCCGCAGATAACTTCAGCTGATCCCAAGTTGGGAGCCAGGAGCTGCGTCATCTTCCCCTTGGTTGCAGGGTCTCAAGGACCTGGGACATTTCTCCCAAGTGGGTATCAGACCCAAGTCCTGGGCCATCTCCCACTGATTTCCAGGTGCATTACCAGGGAGCTGCATCAGAAGCGGGACAGCCAGCACTTGAATTGGCCCTCTGTTAGAGCCTGCCAGTGTCTTGGTGTTGGCTTAGCATGCTGCACCAAGACACCAGAGATCCCGAGATTGTCTTTAGCTTGAGTTCTGATCATTAATAGATTGGAAATGGGAATTACTGCCTTGAGACAGGATTTGAATGTGAGTATTGATTTGGGGAATGAAAATAGACAGGGTTAATACTTTCTCCTGAACTTTGGGAATTGGGAATGATAACTTGTGATAATCAATCACTCTTCTTTAAAATCATGTTTTAAGAATAAATGAAAGGAAAATGTCCCATGATATCTGAACACTGGAATAAATGAATTGTCCTCTGGTAGGCAGTAAGTTCTGCAAAGGCAGAGGGTTTTTTTTTTTTTTCTTACTCTGATTTCCCTGTGTCTGGCAGTAACTGCCTAGTGGATCTGCTTTATTGAGTATTGCTTTATGTTTTAGTAAATGTTAAGATTAAGAAAGAAAATCCAGGACCCAGCGCAGTAGCCTAGTGGCTAAAGTCCTCACCTTGCACACGCCAGGATCCCAAATGGGCACCGGGTCTAATCCCAGCAGCTCCATTTCCTATCCAGCTCCCTGCTTGTGGCTTGAGAAAACAAGTGAGGATGGCCCAAAGCCTTGGGACCCTGCACCTGTGTGGGAGACCTGGAAAGGGCTCCTGGCTCCCGACTCCTGACAGACTTCAGATCAGTGTGGCTCTGGCCATTGCGGCCGCCTGGGGAGTGAACCAACAGGTGAAGATCTTCCTCTCCCTTTCCTCCTCTGTTTATTTGACTTTCCAGTGAACATAAAAAATAAAATCTTTTTTTTAAAAAAAAAAGATAAAGGAAATCTATTCTTGGGACAGAGGCTGGGGACTCCCAGTCCAGGATTGGAGTGAGAGGGCTTGAGCCCACCTTGTTTCTGACTCGCTTCCTTCCCGTGGGCATCCTGGTGGTGGTGTTTCATGGCTCAGATAGTGATGTCCCTGCTGTGTCTGTGGGAGATCCAGATGGAGTTCCAGGCTGCTGGCTCCAGCTTGGCTCAGTCCTGCCTGATTCAGACAGTTGGGGGAAGGTCTTTGTGGGGGAAGGTCTCGCTGTGATCACAGAGTTAGAAGATTTCTTTGTGAAAGTGAGTATGCTAACTTTGCTCTTGCTTACAATTATGTACCATGCACATTTCTGGAAATTGAGAAGTGAAATTTTTCAACTAAGGAGAACTTATTAATAAAAGCTCTTGGAAATGATCATTGTGCTGCCGTTGCTTTTTTTGCCTAGGAACTTGCTAGTTGTATAACTTGTATGCAGTGGTTTAAAATGTAAGCTTGAGTACATCCAGTAGTTCTCACTGAATACTCATTTAACCTAAGCCTGGTTAAATTTGTTTAATTTTTGAGATGAACATCTCTTTCTTTTTTCCCTACAAGGAAAATATATACAATGATCTACAGAAACTTGGTAGTAATCAATCAGCAGGGTAAGTTAATTTTGAACACCATAAACATGTACCATAGATTGCAAAGACATTTTTATATGTGTATGCTTATAATTGTGTTTCTTTTTAAAAGTTACTTAGTGATGTGTTACGTGTTAGGTTTGTTATATCAGATGCTTGGGAACTGGAATTGTCTCTTTAGTTTTTGGAATCTTGGAGTATTTGCATACACATAGTGAGGTATCTTGGAATAGACCTCAAAGTCCAAATTAATTCATTCATGTTTCACATACTCCTTATACATACAGCTGAAAGGTAATTTTATGGTTTTGTTTTCAAGTGTGTCTGCAGCATTTTGATTGATACATTGTGTGATGTGGGAACTGGAATTTTCCATTTGTGACTTTGTTGGTGCTCTAAAAGATTGATTATGGAGCATGTTGGATTTCAGATTTTCAAATGAGTGTTCAACTTGTCATGATAAAAGCATGATAAATATAATAGGAAAAAATGCATATGAACTGCAACAACACAATGCTAAGACTCTGATGTGAAGATAAATAGCTTGTTTCATCAGTTCTTTTAAGCCTTGGGATATCGGTAAGGGTTTGTTTTTGAAAGTAGATCATTTCAAAAGCTGCTTAGGTGTAAAGTAGACCTTGAGAAATACATTGAAAGGTTTTGAGTACTGTTACTACCCAGAGGTAGGACTTTTGAAAGGGTACTTTTCCTTCCCTTTTGGTGCTAGGAAAGATATTTTCCAGTGTTTGTAGGTAAATGTACGTGCCATTTACAGGTCATTTTACACTTGGGTTTATTAACTTGTTGATTTGTATCACATTTTTTTATCGTGAAAATAGTAACCTGTTGAAGTAGAAAGATGTATATTTGTATCAGGGTATACCAGAAAGATTGTGTGTATATTTGCATGGGGTATATCAAGGTTAGAATCGGAAAGATTGGCTTGTGTACAGTGGTGTGCTAATGAGTGTTTAGCACCGCCTTCGGCTGTCTGTGGTGTCTGCCTTGTAAGTATTGTCATTTGGGTTTGAAGCCTGTGGGTGGGAAGAGATACGGTTTGCTTTTGCTGCTGGCAGGAGCTGGCTTCATCTAACAGTTCCTGGTATAAATTGACCTGTCCATTGTGCTACACTGTTCCATATTCAACCTCAGGATTATATTGCTTTTTTACTTTTGTTTCCTGTGTCCTATTTGGACTTCAAGTCTGTGTCCCACAGTACAGTATTTCATTAATAGCAATGTTTAGTATAGGTGCAGACTACCTAGGGTTAGAAATAAAAAAAAAAAAGACATCATCCCACAATGAGACATAATTATGAAGCTCATAACTTTGTTTTGTTTTAAAGCCCTTTATGGAATCAAATGGAAAAATATACAGTCATAGTATCTGTAAATACTGCTTTTAGTTTCCTGAAATGTATGTCTCTTGACTGTTTATTCATTCAAATAATCCTTGATATATGGGAAAATTAGGAGGTAGAAACCTATAGATTACTTTTGCTATTTTGTTAGTAGTAAGATTAATTTTACCGTTCATCAACTTTCAGTCTTGTTCTTAATGTTTCCTTTTTGTTGCATCAATTTTATAACCAATATATTAAAATTCCTGGATGATATAATTCATCTGTATGGACAATTTAGAATTGGCATACTGCTTTATTTCTGATAGGAAAGAAGTATGATACAGTAATGTATAATTTCACAGTGTTAATTCTCAGTCATGATTTCATTATTAAAATGGGAATATTTCCGCGGATGAGGAATTAACTATAGTATACTAAACCTGTTTGCTAGATTTTCATTTTTTAAACTTGATTGGTCTTACTTTGTGTAAACAAACAACACTTCCCCACACCCTCAACTCCCCCATACTCGGGCCCCCCCAGGAGAGGAGAGGAAGACTGAGGGGGGACCGAGCCTACAGTCCAGACTGCTTTTACTTGAGGTCACTATTGTCCAAATCTCTTCACTTTCCTGAAGATTCTTGGAAATGGAACCATTTAAAAACCACAATAGAAACTTGGAATTGTCTTAACCTAACAACTTTTTTCCTTGCCTTGCATATCAGACACTGTCTTGCTGGCTTGTACTTTTGTAATTGCTCTTAATTTGGTATTTTTTCTGTGCTGCAATTATGGCTTTAATATTTTTCATGTGCGTTACTGCAGTATTGTGCAGTATGAATTTCCTTGCTTCCCCATTTGACTCTGCCAGAGCTGTTTATCATTCTTCTGCTTAACATTACCATGTAGGGGTTTATTACTGTTCTCTGGACTCATTTTATCTTTTGGGACTGAACGTATTTTACGGTGAATGGGCTGCTGTAGTGGAAGATTGTGAAATGTTCCCTGGGAGGAATGCGGTGATGGCTGATGTCACGAGTGTGCCTGTTGAGTTCTTGTGGGCCGGGCACTTGGGGCACTTTGCAATATCTCCCTGCGCCATTAGAGGGAGAGTGAGCTGCCTGTGCTTCCCTACAACAGCGACTCTGGGTTTGTGTCTGCAAGTTTAGTCCTATGGTTTTGCTGTTGTCTTAAAAGCATTCGGTGTACTATGAAAGCTTTCCTGGTTTTTCACTCTCTGATGATTGATTGTCCCTCTTCTCTACTGACTTAGCTTTAAGCAATTTCTTTTTAAAAGATGTATGTATTGGGCCCAGAGTGGTGGCCTAGCAGCTAAAGGTCTTTGGCTTGCATGCACCGGGATCCCATATTGGCACCAGTTCTAATACTGGCAGCCCTGCATCCCATCTGGCTCCCTGTTTGTGGACTGGGAAAGCAGTTGGGGACAGCCCAACGCCTCTGGACCCTGCACCTGCGTAGGAGACCCGGAAGAAGCTCCTGGCTTCAGATTGGCACAGTTCTGGCTGTTGTGATCATTTGGGGATGAATCATCAGGTGGAAGATCTTCCTCTCTGTCTTTCCTCCTCTCTGTATATCTGACTTTCCAAAGAAAATCAATAAATCTTTTAAAAAATTTATATATTTTAAAATTTGAAATGTTGCATTACACGCATAATTGCATCTGCTGGTTCACTCCCCAAATAGCCTCAACGGCCAGCTGACTGGTCTGCAGCTGTGAGCCAGGAACTTTTCTTGTGCGCCCTGTTTGGGATTAGGGGCTCAAGGAGTTGGGCCAACTTCTGCTGCTTTCCTAGAGCATTAGTAGGAAAAGGATGGGAAGTGGATCAGCTGGGACTGGAGCAGGTGCCCATGTGAGATGCCAGCACCACTGACATGCTTAGCCTGTTACGCCAGAGTGATAGCCTGTATTTTTAAACTTCCTTGTCATTCTTTCAGGTGGCTTCTGTGCTACAATACAGTTGCCTTACTTTACTTGTATCTGTAGTTATGGGAATGGCACCTGGGAAGTGTTCATGTTTGCTCAAATGTTAACTTTTGTAAAGTATTTAGACTCGCGTGTATTAAGTAACCGTTTCTTTACTGGTTGGTGATTTCTTTTTGTTTTTATTTTCTCAGAACCTTCCAATTCAGGCATGTCTGTGAATGAGGACAGATGTCACCCTGAAGGTGGGAATGATGAAAAGGTAATCTTCAAAGCCGTTCTTACTCTAGTAGTGTTCATTGAAAATGGGAAACATGTAAGACAAGGAATCTATTTCCGGTGTTAGCAATTTAGTGATTTTTCTTTTTTTTTTTTTTTTCTTGAATGTTAAGGAGCCTGGTCAAGAACTGCAGGAAGAGAAACCTACATCTTCAAGTTTGGTTTTGAGACCATCTACCTCATCTAGAAGGAGAGCAGTTAGTGAAACAGGTATGAATGAGAGTGTAGCATATTCAGGCAGCCTGCCACTTACATTTCCTTAGTGGAATTAGGGCTTTGAGGCTCAAGTAAATTGTTCTGCTTCTTTGGGTTACATGAATGAATTTCTGAGGTGCTTTTTTCTTTTTAAGATTGTATTTGGTTTATACGTTGCATGTATAATATTTTTCAGATGGGCTGTAGTAAATGCTCTGTGTGCCTCATGGTGCAGACTAATCCTCTGCCTGGATGCTAGTCACATCCTTGCTGATTCACTTCCCATCCAACTCCATGCTTAGAGCCTGGGCACATAGTGGCGATGGCCCACTGTACCCATGTAGGCGGATTTGGAGGAAGCTCCTGGCTCCCAGCTATAGCTGTGACTGTTGTGACTGTTGTGGCTATTTGGGGAGTGAACAAGCAAATGGAAGATGTCCCTGTTTCTCTGTGTAACTCACTTTGAAATAAATAAAATGCCCCCCCCACTCTTTTTTTTTTTTTTTTTAAGTAAGAACTAAGACTGAATAATTCAAGTGGAAACAAGAATTAGTAAGCCCAGGTTACAATCTTGTCCATAGGATTGGGGACAATAAAGGCAGAACATATCCTACAGAGCATGAATGAGAAAAAATGGTCACTTGTGAAAGTCAAAATTCCAAATGACTTTAAAAGGTGAATGAAAAAGATTATAATGTGTTTGAAATGTAATCTCTTCAGATATTTGAAATGTAGTCACCTTAAATTTGACAAAGTTGGTACCATATAAAAATGGTCTTTAAAATAAACTAAAAATTCAAACGATAATTATATTAGTGGAAATTTCTCACAGTAAATACATGAAGGAGGGGTGGACTTTCAGTTTTCCAGATAATATATACAAAAGATGTATTTGTTATCAATTAGTAAAGATAAATGTCTTATCTAACTTTTTAAAAAGATTTATTTTTATTGGATAGTCAGATTTACAAGAGAAGGAGAGATGGAGAGAAAGTTCTTCTTTCTGCTGGTTCACTCCCCAACTGGCCGCAGTGGTTGGAGCCAAGCTGAAACCAGAAGCCAGGAACAACTTGCGGGTACAGGATCCTAAGGCTTTGGGCCATCTACTGCTTTCCCAGGCCACAAGTAGGGAGCTGGATGGGAACCGGAACCGGGACCACCGGGATTAGAACCTGTGTCCATGTGGGATTCTGGGATGTACTAGGCAAGGACTTCAGCCACTAGGCTACAGCCCTGAGCCCACATCAGTAATTTCTAATACAATACAAATTTTTCAAGTTTTGCCTGTTTGTTTGAAAGGCATACTTAAGCAGTCATCTATCTGCTAGCTCACTGCCCCGGATGGCTGCACTGGCCAGAATTGTTCTGCGTCTAAGACAAGGTTCAGTAATTCTGTCTAGGTCTTCCATGCAGTAGAGAGATCCGAGTAGTTGGGCATCTTTCATTGCCTTCCCAGGTGCATTAGTAGGGAGAGTCAGAAATGGAGCAGCTGGGGTGCGAATTGTACTCCTAAGAGATGTTGCTGCTGGCAGTAGGCTGTGCCTTCCCAGTGCTAAAATATTCAAATGAGCAGTAATGAAACAGCTGCTTTTGCATTCAACTGAAGTTCTTGTACTCCAAATAGAGACATCAAGCTTAAATTCTTTATTCACATAAAGTGAAAAAGTGGTCTTGAAAGGAACCATCTTAAAGAACTGTCTTTCAGGGATCATGTTGTGCAAGGCATCACACCAGGATAGATTTAAGATCTTGAAATATATACTTCTGGTAAGAACAGAAGGGCTCCCATTTTTTTTAAAGATTTATTTTTATTGTGAAGTCATACAGAGAGACAGGAAGACTTTCTTCTGATGATTCACTCCCCAAGTGACCACAGTGGCCAGAGCTGAGCCGATCTGAAGCCAGGAGCTTCCTCCAGGCCTCCCAGGCGGGTGCAGGATCCCAAGGCCTTGGCCCATTCTTGACTGCCTTCCCAGGCCACAAGCAGGGAGTTGGATGGGAAGTGGGGTTGCCGGGACTAGAACCAGTGCCCGTATGTAATCCTGGTGCATTCAAGGTGAGGACTTTTGGCTGCTAGTCCACCTTGCTGGGCCCAGGGCTCCCCCCCCCCTCCTTTTTAAAAATTCATTACTTTGGAGATTTACATTTTGTACTTGCATATATTCCAATGTGAAGATTTGTATATTCCATGTTTTGATACCTTAAATAATTGTGTTGCTATTCAGTTAAACGGACAGGTTCCATGGGACTGTTTTGTTCTTGGGAGGGAGAGAAGTTTGTTGGTGTATTTTTCGAACAAGAATTTAGAATGATTTTCTTTATGGTTGACACAAATGACTGAAAACTTCCTTTAGGTCCCTAAAGATAGGCTTATTTATTGTACGCTTATGACTTGGTTCTGGACACTAGTCTAGTAGTGCCTTTAGTATCTGACTTCAGCCTTGATTTATGTACCTTATACTCAGTACTAGGCTAAAAGGGACTGTTGATTTCAAAGAGCAAGAAAAGAAACCAACAATCAAATGTTTCTTGAGGGATGGCCGCTGACCTAAAGCAAGAGCTTGCACAGTCTCTCCTGGGTTCCTTGTGTATCTCTGACCTGCTAGATGCAGTGCTCTGAAGCATCTTATCTGGGTCAAATCCAGGAGCCAGCAGTCCCAGGTGCTTCATGGATGGCAGGGACCTGTTCAGTTGAGCCATTATTTGCTACTTCCCAGGAGGGTATGTGTTGGCAGGGAGCTTGTGTCAGGAGGGAATTTGAGATTCCAGTGTTGGCCTCCTAAGTGATGGCTTAACTGGTAGACCAGATGCCTGCCCCATTTGAGCATTTCCACAGTGTTACATTATACTTCCTAGGACAGGATTGTAAGGACTTGAATGGCTTGTCCTGTGTGGGTGGCTCTGTGGCCCACTTAAATTTAATGTCAGAATTCTCATTTGGTGTTCTGGCTTTTATTATTATTGAAAATTTTTTTTTTGATTTTTATTTTTAATGGTGATCACATGGTTGACCAGTGTGGGAACGACATGATTAGGGAAAACTGAAATCATTGTCTCTGGGAGATGGGGAGAGTTAAAAGGGAAGTCAACACCCAGCTTCCTAAATGTCCCAGTACCCAAGGATGGGAACCGCCACCAGATACCAATCTAGGGTCTTGATGTAGTGCATGTTCTGAGGGATTTGACCAAGTGGTTTGGATGGTTTTCCGATGCTATTAATTTCACTGATCTAGGGCTGAGGCAACCCTCCCAATGTTCATTGACTGACGTAGTGGAACTCAAGTCTCCATTTATCCAGATTTTTGCTGTCCTCGTTTGCTGGGGTAGTTGACCAGTTTGCTCAGTTCTTTTTCTGTTGCGGTGCCAAATGTGGCGACATGAGCCCCACCACATGCCCCATCCCTGGTCTCATGAACCTGGCACCTGCTGCTCAGGCAGGCCAAGGGACCAGGGCCAGGGGCTGTGAGCCCCAACAGATCCCCCACCCCTGGGGCTCATGAATCCCTGGCATGCACCTTGCAGGCAGGCCAAAGGACCTAGGCCAGGTAGCCCAAGTCCCACCAGATCTTCTACCTGCAGGGCTCACAAACCCAGCACCTACGTCACATGTTAGCCCCAGGACCTGGACCAGGTGACCCGAGTCCCACCAGATCTTAAGTCAGTTAATCGGCGTAGATTTTTTTTCTGTAGAACATACAAGATAATTTGTACTAAAATAGTTGCTTTCATAAAAGATGAAGCTTGATTTTCAACAGAAAAATTGGACTGATTGGTTAATAAACAGTAGGCTTAGACAAATTAATGTAATTGTGCTTACAAGATCCTGAAAGGTTAGAGAGTTTTTAAAAAAGTAGGCTTTGGCTAAATTTGTGTTTTCAGCTGGTAATTCAGTGTTTTTCTGTTTAACTTTGTTGGCCTCAATTTCAGCACAAATAAGTACTCAAACAGACCGGCTTGTTAATCATGGAACAACAATTTAATGAAGTTTTTTTTTATTATATAAGCAGAAGAAAATTTGGATGAATTACCTGGTGAACGACAAAGAAAACGCCACAAATCTGATAACATATCCCTCTCCTTTGACGAAAGTCTGGCTCTGTGTGTAATACGGGAGCTATGCTGTGAAAGAAGCAGTAGCAGTGAGTCAACAGAGACACCATCAAATTTGGTAAGTTCTTGTTTTAAGTAAAACTTTGAAATAAAATATAGTCCTGTAAGCGTATAAATGGATTGCATGCACATTGTGAAATGGCTTCCAGTGTAGTCTGTTACTTTTACAGAAAACTACTTTGTAGATCTGACCCCTTTGCCTGCTTTGGGAAAGGTTGAAGGATGGTGTTGGTAGCAAAGCAGGTAAAATGGGCACCATAGTAGTTACTAATGTCACCCTGTATGTGAGAATTTTGCGTTCCACAGCACTTGTAGTCTCTTCAGCTGGATTGGGGTGTTTCAAAATAGTCTGAGAATGTGGCAGTTACAATTTTTAAGAAATAAGGAAGTAAAATTAAAAATCTGGTGCAACTACAAGTCATTTAAAGCAAAATTGTGTATTTAAAATGGAGGTTTATTTACAGTCACCAGCATTGTCTGTGCTTAACAGTTGCCATGCGAAGTCTTGACCATCAGGGCAGCACTGTGAGGTGAGATATGGGTGTGTGTGGCATAGATAATGAGAGGATGCCATCAGTGCCTGGTGCCTGCTGTTATAGAGTTCTAGTGTATAAGGAATAGAATTCATAACAGTTGCCACTGGAAGAAGTTGAAGGTTTTCTGGCTACCAAGAAACCTGTTGATGTTTGTCTTTTAAAGTGTTTTTAAAATTTGGATCTTTGTAATGTGGGTTTCTCGTGGTCATTAATCTGAATGTTACCGTTTTATAGAAAAGGTAGGAGACTTAACCATTTATTATAACCCTGTTCTTACCTTTGCTGTATTGTTACTTCCTGTATTTGCACATTTTCCTGCCCCAGAGTAGTGATTATAGGAATACAAAACTATTCTGTATTTGACAGAGGTGATACTTATGGGACCACTAGATGGCGCAGAGAGCTCCTGCTCAATTCTCTGTTTAGTAACTTTTTAAAAAAAGATTTATTTTTATTGCAAGTTCAGATTTACAGAGAGATGGAGAGACAGCTCTTCTGTCCTATGATTAACTCCTCAAGTGACCACAATGGCCGGTATTGTGCTGATCCGAAGCCAGGAGCCCGGAGCTCCTCCAGGTCTCCCACGTGGGCACAGAGTCCCAACGCCTTGGGCTGTCCTTGACTGCTTTTCCAGGCCACAAGCAGGGAGTTGGATGGGAAGCAGGGCGGATTAAAGGATCCTGGTGCATTCAAGGCGAGGACTTAGCCAGCAGGCCATCATACCTGGCCATGTTTAATAACTCTTAAGTTCTGCCATGTTGTTCCCAATGTGGAGGCTGACTGTCAGCATTTGCGTGACAGACAATCCTATAAATCCTGTGTAGGAAAAATATAGGTTCTTTAGTGAATTTGTGTGAATGACAAGCTTCATGTTTGTTTCATTAATTTTATTACTTACAAATGGCTGTGGGAAATGGAAATATGCTCCGTCTGACCTAGGCTGTTCTGGCTGTATCAGAATTCTGGCTGCAATGACACTTCAGGCAGTCCTGTTCTTGCTCTGTATCTAAGACATTGCTATGTTATAAAGCAAGGTAGGAAGGGATTTCTTTTTAAAATTTTTATTTTATTACAAAGGCAGATTTACAGAGAGAAGGAGAGAAAGATCTTTCATCTTCTGCTCCACTCCCCAAGTGGCCACAGCAGCCAGAGCTGAGCTGATCCAAAGCCAGGAGCCAGGAGCAGCTTCTGGGTCTCTCACATGGGTGCAGGGTCCCAAGGCTTTGGACCATCCTCGACTGCCTTCCCAGGCCACAAGCAGGGAGCTGGATGGGAAGTAGAACAGCAAGGATACAAACTGGCGCCCATATGGATCCTGGCATATGCAAGGCAAAGATTTAGGCCACTAGGCTATTCCACCAGGCCTTGGTGTTTGTTTTTGTAAGATTCTACTTATTCTTATTGGAAAGTCATTTACAAAGAGAGGGAGAGACAGAAAGATCTTATATCCGCTGTTGATTATTTTCCAAGTGGCCACAATAGCCAGAGCTGAGCTCCTGCAAAGCCAGGAGCCAGGAGCTTTTTCCAATCTCCCAAACAGGTGCAGGGTCCCAAGGCCTTGGGCCATCTTGTACCGCTTTCCCAGGCCACAAGCAGGGAGCTGGAAGAGACCTGAGCAGCCAGGACATAAACTGGGTGTCTATGTGAGATTTCAGCGCTTGCAAGGCTGTGACTGTAATCACTAGGCTACAATGCTGGGCCCCTCTTTTTTCTTTAATTCTGTGTTGCACATCTGAATATCTTGTATATTAAGAATTTGTTGCTTTTCATCATAGGTTCTTAGTTGTGAAACTACTGCCCTGCTTTTTTCCTCACACAGAATGTTAATTAGCATTTGGCATCTTCATTCATTAGTTTGAGAAGGAAGTTAAGGGAACTGAATTCCTCTCGTATTTTCTTTCCTTTGGTTTTAAGGAAACAGTGAGCTTAGTCTGTGTTCTCAGGTCGGTAGTCGGCAGTTGATCACATTTTGTCGTCTCGGCACCTCAAAACTTCATTACTGGTTGGGAAACTCAAACTTGAATGGCTAGGTAGAGTTACTGCATCCCAGCTTCGCTGAGCCCTTGTCCTGCAGAAACAGCCGTGGGCAATAGGTAATGGTGGCTGTGGCTGCAGTTAGTGAAACTTGAATGTGAAGTATAGGCGAGTCATGGACTACAGTTTGCAGACCCTGCCTTTAAAAAGGCTGTGTCTGAGACATAATTTTTCTTGTGACTGCTCCTTTGAAATTAATACATTACAGATGTTTGTTGAAATGTTGCTTTTTGGAGATGTTACATATTTCAGCTTATGGTTCTAAACAGATCATAATAGATCGCTTGTTAGTAATTAAATTTGCAACTTGGTGAATGTTACTGTTATTATTTTCCTAACATCACTTTAAAAAAATCTTTTCACTTCAGAAATTGTGAAGTAATGTGCTCTTTTGATGGATACATTAGAGGTCATGTAATGTAAAATGAATGGAATTTAGAAATGGCCAGATGGGCCTGGAGTGGTGGCCTAATGGCTAAAGTCCTCGCCTTGCATGCGCCAGGATCCCATATGGGTGCTGTTTCTATTCCCTGCAGCTCTGCTTCCCACCCAGCTCCCTGTTTGTGGCCTGGGAAGGCAGTAGAGGATGACCCAAAGCCTTGGGAACCACATGGGAGACCCAGAAGTAACTCCTGGTTCCTGGCTTCAGATCAGCTCAGCTTCAGCTGTTGTGGCTACTTGAGGAGTGAATCATCAGCTGGAAGATCTTCCTCTCTGTCTCCTCTTCTCTCTGTGTATATCTGACTTTCCAATAAAAATAAATAAATCTTAAAGGAAAAAAAAACTACTGCAGTATCACTGTTGGCAGGAGCAGTGTGGCTACTGAAATGCAGATTGGTTCAGGAAGCAGATTTGGCAGCATAGTCCGTGTTGGTTAAAGGCAGAGGGAGTGCATTGGAGTTAGGCGAGGATGTTGCTGTAGTCATTGTGTGTACAGGGCAGAGGGGCTTTGGTCTTTTTCTTTTATGTAATGGGGTTTTGAATATGGAAGATGAAACTGATGTCGAGGTAAGTTTGCCTGTAGTAGCAGTGTGCAGCGTGGATCTGGGGAAGAGATCAGGACACAGGTGAAGGTGGGAGCTGGCAGAGACGCAGCATCATTGTTGAGTTGGTTTTACTTCTTTCTTATTTTAGGATCTTGATGACCATGTAAGTGAACACTCAGGTGATTGGCTGGATCAAGATTCAGATTCAGATCAGTTTAGTGTGGAATTTGAAGTTGAATCTCTCGATTCAGAAGATTATAGCCTTAGTGAAGAAGGGCAAGACCTGTCAGATGAAGAAGATGAGGTAATTTCGTAGTATTTGTGTCTGGAAATTGTTAGATATTTTCTGTGTTTGTTGATTCGGATGGGATTGCAATAATCATATATTCAAATTTCTCTTGAAATCATTTCTTTGGGGTTGTTCAGACTTACAATTGAGACTTTTCAGTTTCTTGTCTGGTGAATATAAACCAAACTGCTGTTGCCAAAACTCAGTCTGTAATGAGCATTCTTATTTTCTAAATGGTAATTTGCATTTTCATAAATGCAAAATATACACATGGTCTAATAGTAACCCTGTGTTTATTCTCTGGAAGTAACAGCTCTGACTGGTGTAGCTGCTTGCTTGTTACATGATACCTTCATGTTTAGAATCTAGCAATGTTTGTATTTTTAAACATTCTGTTTGTTGGCTTTTCACTACAGCATTTTTGTCTATTTTCCGCCTATTGCTCCATTTAATCTTGGTGTTAAAATTTTTATGCATAATAGTACATGCTGTTTGTTTAGGATGTAGCACTAAGCAGCTTTGTTGGTTGAACAAAAGTGAAGTGGTGCTGATGAGTTTGTCTTACTAGGTTTATCGAGTTACTGTGTATCAAGCAGGGGAGAGTGATACAGACTCATTTGAAGAAGATCCTGAAATCTCCTTAGCTGTAAGTATATGTCTGCTTGTTTCAGAAATCAAAAGGTAACACATCAATATTAGAAAAATGTTTCTGCTCTACTTTCTGAAAAGAAGTCATTTTTATAAAGTTGGGACTCTTAGAAGTCTTGACTGTGATTGTGTGGTTTGTCAGGGCCTGGAGTTGAGCCTCCGCTCCTATTCTGCCTTCCTGCTGAGACTGGGAGGCAGCATCACGTGATACTCGGGTAGTTTTGGTTCTCTTAAGACAGACTGAGTTTCCAGCTTCAGTCCAGTCCAGCCTTGCTCCTGCTGTTTCTGGTTGGTCTGTCTGTCTTTCTGTCTCTCTCTCTCTTTCATATGTATGTATGTATGTATGTATGTTTTGTAAGGATTTATTTTTTATTACAAAGTCAGATATACAGAGAGGAGGAGAGACAGAGAGGAAGATCTTCCGTCCAATGATTCACTTCCCAAGTGAGCGCAGCGGCCGGTTCTGCGCTGATCTGAAGCTGGGAAGTAGGAACCTCCTCCAGTCTCCCACGTGGGTGCAGGGTCCCAAGGCTTTGGGCCGTCCTCGACCACATTCCCAGGCCACAAGCAGGGAGCTGGATGGGAAGTGGAGCTGCCAGGGATTAGAACCGGCGCCCATATGGGCTCCTGGTGTGTTCAAGGCTAGGCCATGCCCCCAGGCCCTGTTTCTGGCATTTCAGGAATGAACCATCACATAGGAGCTCTGTCTCATCCTCTTCCTCAAGTAAAATTATTGCATAAAAGTCGGAATGACTTAATGTGTTCTTGTGGGATGTTTTGAATTTTTTTAGTTTTATGTGTTGGTATTTGACTTTTTAAACCTTGATTATGGAAAATCTCAGAAATGTGCAGCACGAAGAATACTAGAAGGTGTCTCCAGAAGGTATCATTTGGCTTTAACAATTCCTGTGTCTTGCCAGTCTTACCCCCGCAAAAACTAGAAGTATTTCCTTTAAGCATCCATAATGCAAGGGCTTTGTCTGGCTTTTTGAGCTGGGGAATCACTGAGAACTTCAAAGAATCATTGTTGGAGCCTGGCGCGGTAGCCTAGTGGCTAAAGTCCTTACCTTGCATTTGCCGGGATCCCATATGGATGCCCTGTTTCCCATCCAGCTCCCTGCCTGTGGCCTGGGAAAGCAGTGGAGGATGGCCCAAGGCCTTGGGACCCTGCACCTGTGTGGAAGACCTGGAAGTTGTTTCTGGTTCCTGGCTTCGGATCAGTGCAGCACCGGCCATTGAGATCACTTGGGTGAATCATTGTATGGAAGATCTTCTCTCTATATATCCGCCTTTGCAATACAAGTAAATAAATCTTTTTAAAAAAGATTTATTTACTTGTATTGCAAAGGTGGATATATAGAGAGGAGGGAGAGACAAGAGAGGAAGATCTTTTGTCTGATGGTTCACTCCCCAAGTGGCCAAAATGGCTGGAGCTGAGCCAATCTGAAGTCCAATGGGAAGTAGGGCAGCTAGAATTAGAACCAGTGCCCACATGGCATCCCGGCGTGTTCAAGGTGAGGACTTTAGCTGCTACGCTATCGTGCCGGGCCCATAAGTAAATCTTGGGAAAAAAGAAAGAATCATTGTGGGATTAAGCAGTGTACCCTTATTATTGTCATTGTATCATTTCCAAGGAATGCAAAGTGATAAAATCATTTGTAGCACAATAGGAAGGATTCCTTCACGGCAAGTTTTCCATGGTGTGGTATTCTCAGGCGTGAACCTTGCTTCCTTGAAGGCAGGGATATGATACCTGCAGTGAGGCGGCTGGGACTAGAAGGGAGTTCGTCCCCCAAGTCGGCCTGGAGGAAAGGTCTGGGAGGGAAGCAGGGCACTCCCTGGTTAGTGCGCACAGCACGGGAAGGGAAGGCCTGTGTTTGGGTGGTAGTCAAGGGCAGCATTGCCGCTAGGGTTGCCTAGGAGTGTTTCAGCACTTCCCTGGTGGTGGTGTGAGAACAGGCAGCTGAGCCCTAGTTGCAGAGCACCTGTTTTTGAAGATTTTATTGACAAGGCCAACTTAGAGAAAGATCTTCCGTCGGCTGATTCATCCCTCAAGTGGCCACAGTGGCCAGAGCTGAGCTAACCCAAAGCCAGGCTTTCCAGGCCACAGAAGGAGCTGGATGGGAAATGGAAAAGCTGGTGCATGTATTGGTGACCGAATGGGATCCAGATGCTAGCAGGGAAAGGATTAGCTAAGAGAGCCATCGCACTGGGCTCAGAGGAGCAGTTTTAAGGGAGTCCAGTTGACTGTTTCATTGAGAGCTAACTTGTTGGAAAGCAGGTTTCATCTTGATTGGGTGGACTCCAAGCAGTGTTTGGTGTTGGGCACTCAGGGAGTCACAGACACCGGTCTCTTTGCAGAGTGAAAAAACCCATGTAGTTTATGTAGTTTAGGAAGTAAACTACATAAACCCATGGAACTTCCTTAACTACGTAAACCCATAGTATTTCCTTAACTAAACCCATCGTGCTTCCTTAACTACGTAAACCCACAGTGCTTCCTTAACTACGTAAACCCACAGTGCTTCCTTAACTACGCAGAGCATTGAACAGATGGTTTCATAGATGCATGTTGAGCACAGTGTACACATTTTCAGGTTCAGGATTTTTCAGCGTGTTACAACTGGGAAAAATGTACATGAAAATCTCGTAGTTGCATATAAGAAATTTAAAAATTTTGGTTGTATGCATTTGAGATATACAGCATGTTTTGGTATGTATATGCACACTCATGACTAATCACGCAAATTAATGTATTGGTTGTCTGACATGGGTGTGTGCTGTAGTATCGCTGTTAATTCCAGTATGAAATAGGCTGTGACTATAGTTGTCAGGCTGTACATGTTGGTTTATTATTGTATGTGAAACATGAAATGCTAGAAATTGAGCTGTATGGTACAATTTAGAGTGTTGGACTTACGGTGTTACTGCGGTGCTGTCACTGCTAAGCAGAGCGTTACAGAAACTAACTCCGCCTTCTGTCGTTGAAGGACTATTGGAAGTGTACTTCTTGCCATGAGATGAATCCTCCGCTCCCATCACATTGCAACAGATGTTGGGCTCTTCGTGAGAACTGGCTTCCTGAGGATAAGGGGAAGGATAAAGAGGGGATGTCCGAGAAAGCCCTACTAGAAAACTCGACACACTCGGAACAAGGCTTTGATGTTCCTGATTGTAAAAAGTCCGTGGCAGATGATTCTAAAGAGGCAGGTGTTGAGGAAAACCATGATGAAAGCACAGAAGCTTCTCAGTCACAAGAGAGCGAGGACTTTTCTCAGCCCTCGACTTCTAACAGCATTATTTATAGCAGCCAAGAGGACGTGAAGGAGTTTGAAAGGGAAGAAACGCAGGAGAAAGAAGAGAGTACGGAACCCAATTTCCCCCTGAATGCCACTGAACCTTGTGTGATTTGCCAGGGTCGACCTAAAAATGGTTGCATCGTTCATGGCAAAACAGGACACCTGATGTCATGCTTCACTTGTGCCAAGAAGCTAAAGAAAAGGAACAAGCCCTGCCCTGTCTGTAGACAACCTATTCAGATGATTGTGCTAACTTATTTCAACTAATTGACCTGTCCGTAGGAGTGGAATTATATATTTCTAACTGTAAATATAGCCCTAAAATTTTGGACAACATGGGATATGGGATCTATTTTTATTTACATATGTCAAAGTGAGGCATTGTCTCAGTTAATGTGGATTTCCCCTTTTTGGTATGATTTACCTTTGGGAGAGAGAAAAGTGAATATTTACTTTTTCAAATGATAATTTCACTTTGTTCTATTTTTTATTTGGGTTTTAATGTGATTTGAATACATACTAGTTCATTTTTAATCATCCCCCTCGACTTCAAATAGTTTCCACTTTCTCCTAATAAACAAACATGAGAAGTACCTGGTTTAAAAGTACAAAAATAAGTAGGACATTGAAATGTAAAGTTAGTGTCTCATATGTAAGGGAAGATGTTTGTGAAAGGTTTAATATTTTAATTTTGGATACCCTTAAATCTGAGCCTTAGCTTTTCTGGTTTCGGAGCTTAAAATACCTTTTCTAGATAACTAAGTTGATAGCTGTATTGAGTACAGTGTGAGTGAAAAATGTTGATAGTGTTTTTGGTGTTACCGTGTGATAAAGGATAGGTGGCCATCACTTACACACAGACGAAACCTTTCTAACCCTCCTTGGTAAACTGGGGGAAGGGGCTGTTCTGGGTGAATGAGTATACTATGCATTTTTCACACTAATTTTGAGAACTTGATTGAATCTTATGTTTCCTGTAAGTTGGAAAGAATTCTGAGATAGTTTGATCGTCTTGGGCTCAGTTATATGGTTTCTGGTAGTTGCCTGAGTTTCAGACCTTAGCTTAACACCAGTTTTAGAAATGAGTGCATTCAGAAATTTGGTTAATAGAACTATTCATTTTTAAATTAACCAGAAAAGCTATAACTTTAATGCAGATATTATTTGTTACTTTCCTTTTAAAAATGACAGTGTCAGAATATGGGATTCTAAAGTCCATATCAAGCTGTTTGGTTTAAGTTCTCTTATTATTAACTGTAGTGTACCAAATACTGAAAACATCTGTTAAGGTTACGCTGCTTTTCTCCCATGTATATGACAGTTGTGCAGATTCAGATGAGGGATAATTTGTTCTACCAATTACTAATAGAACATTGTTGCAATAGCTTTATGAACACAGGTCTTACATGTGTATATCTAAATTCGGAAGCAAGTGGATGGAGTACTTTGGTCTTCAAATACAGCACAAATTTATTAATTTGTGATTTGTAATTCAGTTAGAGCTCTGTACAGTCATTCTGAGAATTGGTGGTACAAGTGAGGCGATGGATGGTGTACATTAGGATATGCAGCAGTTGCTGTTCACACAACAGTTCACACATGACCCACTGCGTGCTTCTGATTGACAATGTAGTCCTGATTGTCAAAATTTTTAGGCATAATATGTATTATTTATTGATTTATAAATAAACTTATTAAATATTAACTGTTTCAACAATGTGATTATTGGATCTTGTACATTTAATTTTTTCATAATTGGTTTTGTTAAAGGGAAATAATGTTTAATATCTGTTTAGGTAAACAGGCAGATCTGAGTGCTTCCTGTTTGGGAATGGTGGTGCCTGCTTGCTTTGAAAGGATGTATTTTACTGGGCAGCTTGATGTGGTTGGTAGCCTCTAAGACATTAAGAACAACTAGAGAACGGAAGTGCAGGTCCATGGGACAGAAATGCTGTTTTTCCTGGGTTACAGTATGGCAGGCTGGGCATATCAAAGTGGTGAGGTTTGAGTCTTGCATCAGCGTCTGATTCAGCTTCCTCCTAATGCCACCTTGGGAGTGAGTGGGTTAGGCTCATGTACTTGGGTCTGATACCCATGTGGGAGAGCTGGATGAAGTCTCAGCTTCTTGGCCTCGTGGGTATCTAGAGAGTAAACTAGCAGGTAGAGGATTGTCTGATACTGAAAAGGAAAGCCCCATTTGAATTACCCATTACTTTCTGCTCAACTTTGAAGTGAAATTTCCATGAAAGCAGAAGCTTCTTGAGCTTCCAGAATCTTCAGTTAGTCAAGACAATGGGGCCTGGGTTGAAGCTGGGCCCTCAAGACAGGAGGGTTAAACTCCTGGCATCATTTATAATTGAAATTTTAAGAAAATAATTTCATTTAAAAGGCAGAGGTCATGGTGTTCTTCCATCTGTTTTACTCCCCAGATGCCAACAACAGCCAGGGATGTACCAGCCCAAAGCTAAGAGCTGAATATCGCATGCAGGTGTCCCACATGGCTGACGGACCTAACCTGTTGAGCCATCCATCACTTGCTACCTTCCAAGGTCCACATTAGCAGGAAGCTGCCATTGGGAGCAGAGCTGAGAATACAGGCAGGCACTGCTGATTCGGGGTGCAGCTGTCACCAGGGACATGCTAACTACTGCACAAAATGGCCAGATTTTACAAATTTTAGAGGGGGAGTTGTGAAGATAGTAGTGTACAGGGCTGTGTGTTAATGTTGGTATGTACAAGTTGTCATGGCGTTGCATTGTTAAATTTATGGTTGTATATTCTGATTGAATAATGAATTTTTTTGTTTATAAGTAGAGTTTTTAGAAATCTTTTTTAAAAAGGTTGGAAGTTTACAATTTTATGGAAGACTGAATTAAAGTGTGTCTATTGCAAAACAGTTTTGGAATCCACTCAAGCAGAAGACTTGTGAACAGTTCATAGAACTGCATTGTGAAGGGACTGGCATCCCATACAGGTACCAGTTTAAGAATTGGATGGTCTAGTTCGATCTGGCTCCCTCGTAATGCCTGGAAATGCAGCAGAGGATGGTCTGAGTATTTGGGCCCTTCCACCCACATGGAAGACTAGGATGGAGTTCCTGGTACAGTCCTGGCTATTGTGAGATGACCATTTGAGGAGGGAACCAGCGGACGGAATCTCTCTAATTCTGCCTTTAAAATAATAAGATTAAAAAAAATCATGAAAAAGTTGTGAAAGGATTTCAGAATTGCTTTACACTAAAATTTTAAACTCTTTTTTTTTTTTTTTTTTTTTTAAGTTTACTAGTTTCAAAAGTAAAGTTGGAGAGATCTATCTTCTGCTGGTTCGCTCTCCAAGCGACCAGAAGGCTGAAGCCAGGAGCTTCTGATAGGTCTCCCCACAGGTGAAGGGTCCCAAGGACTTGGGCCATCCTTATCTGCTTTGCTAGGTGAATTAGCAGGGAGTTGGAGCAGAAGTGGAGTAGGCAGGATTGAACTGGAGTGTGGGTACTGGCACTGTAGGTAGTAGCTTTACGTGGTGCCGCCCCCCAGAATGAATATTAAAATTGTTTCCACAAGCTGTTCAAAATACTCTTTTACTTTTTCATATACCCAGCTTTCTGTTAAATACAGTAGAGACTTTTTTTGGCAGATAATGGGTAATACTTTTAAAAGGTAAACGTAAGCAGCAGCACAGAGGTGTTGAGAAATGTGTATTATGTTATAAAGTAGACTGCCAGCAAGAGGGAATGAGGAAGAGCAACAAATGAGAAAGTGAAGCAGTAAGGCAGATGGAAGATGGCCCAAAGGTACAGTAATTGTAAGTATTGCATCCGAAATGATTGAAAGGCTCACTCCCCAAGTGGTACACAATGATGGGCTGGGGCCAGGGCCAAGCAGAAGTTGGGAACCAGGAACTCAATCTAGGTTCCACGTGACTGGGGAAGCTATCTATTGCTTCCCAGGGTCTGCATTAGCAGAAGCTGGAATGAGCCAGAACTGGAGCTAGAAATGGCTTAACAGATCAAATACCTGTCCCACAGGCCAGTGTGGCAACAAGGGATTAAATGTGCTTGGCGTGCCAGGATTTCCTTTCAGAGCACTGGGTTAAGACCTGGCTATTTTCTATCCACTCTGCCTCCTTGCTGATGCGTCTGGGAGAGCAGTGAAGGTGGCTCAAGTACTTGGGCTCCTGCTGCCTATGTAGGCCATCCAAATGGACTCCTAGGCTCCTGGCTTGCCCTGGATCACATTGGGCCAGTTGGGGGAGTAACCAGCATATGGAATATATTTTCTTTGTTCCTGAACTTCATAAGCACTTGGAAATTCCAATCTGTCATTTTGCCTTTTAAGTAAGTTTTTTTTTTTTTTTTTTTTTTTTTTAAAGATTTATTTTTATTATTTTTTCATTGGAAAGGCGGATATACAGAGAGGAGAGACAGAGAGGAAGATCTTCCGTCCGATGATTCACTCCCCAAGTGAGCGCAACGGGCCGATACTATGCCGATCCGAAGCCAGGAGCCTCTTCCGGGCCTCCCACACGGGTGCAGGGTCCCAAAGCTTTGGGCCGTCCTCGACTGCTTTCCCAGGCCACAGGCAGGGAGCTGGAAGGGAAGCGGGGCTGCCGGGATTAGAACCGGCGCCCATATGGGATCCCGGGCGTGCAAGGCGAGGACTTAACCACTTGCGCCACCGCGCCGGGCCCTTAAGTAAGTTTTATAAGAGCTTTTTAATACTATTTGATATCTTGTCAGGAGCTTGGGAGTCGATGAAGTGGAGGAATTGGGCCGCCTTCCTACTAATGCATGGTCCTGCAGAGAAGCAAATGTTTGTAATGCAATAAGCAAAGTGTGAATGCTACCAGAATGCTGTTCCATGTGGTTTGAACACTCCAAGTGTTTAGAGACTAAGAAGGTTTTATCGGGAATAATGATTTATCTCTTAACTTCTACAACTCTAAAACTTCATCCTTAAGATTTTTTATTATCATGTATGATGAGTTCTACATATTATTTGGTTACATTTCAGTACCTTTGTGCATATGCTTATTTTTGTTCTATGCTTTTACTGCCAAGATTATGGTAATGCCTCCTTAAATGGACTTAAATATATTTGGTGTTTGTCAGGTTTATAAGTAGGTAACTTAGATACTCTATCTCCTTATTTAAATATTGGAGAATAACTGTGCTTGGGTGTAATTTTAGATTGAAAATGTTATGAAATTGGTGCTTTTCACCATTTCCTCAATCTCTTTGCTGCAACAATATTCATGAGGTTTTTTTTTTTTTTAGTGGGGAAGATGAAATATAAAATCACTTATACGTATATGGTCTTCTTCAGAGACCTTAAAGACAGTAGTTTGTGTAGAACATTGCATGGGGTGTGGCAGAGTAAGCATTGGGATACATTGCAGTTTAATGTTCTGTTTTCGCATCCATTTCCGAGCACTTCCAAGTTCTAACTAGGTAGCTGTGAGTTAACCCTGTTTTACACATTGTCTCAGTTGAGGTACTCTTCAGTCTGTTTCCTAACAGATGGTGACGTACTCTCCTGGGTTCTGTCTCTGGCTGCCAGATACACAACAGACTCCCAGTGAAGGGTGATGAATGACCGTGAAAGCAGCCCAGCAGTTTTCTCTGAGGAAAGATGCTTAAAAAGCATTCTGAGAAGATACATTCTGGGGACGCAGCGGTCTTTGTTGATATGGTCTCAGAACTGGAACGTGAAAAGGTGGTGTTTTGTTTTTTAAACATTTATTTGAAAAGAGTTGCATCTGCTGGTTCACGCCCCAAATGGCCACAGCAGTTGTGGACAGGTCCAAAGCCAGGAGCTTTCTCCAGTTCCCCCACAACGGGATCAGGGCACAAGCACTTGGGCCACCCCCTACTGCTTTCCCAGCCACTAAAAGATGTTTTTGACTCTGCGCTGCTGTTGGACTGGCAGTGCAGTGGCACGTTACATGAGAGCACTAAGTAGGGCTGTGTAGGGCGAGATAGTGGGGATCTTGAAGCTCCAAGGTAATCTAGCTATCATACGTGCAAGTTTGTTAGCTGACATGTCATGCAGTGCTTGGCTTAAAAATTACTTTTTGTCCTTTTCCTATTTTTAATTTTTAAATATTTGAGTGAGTTTCAGAGAATCTTCTGTCTACTGAATCATTCAAATGGCCACAGTGGAGACAGACCAGGCCGAATCCAGAAGCCTGGAGCCTCTTCTGGGTCTCCCAGGTAAGTGTTGGGCTCCAAGCACTTGGGCCATCCTTGGCTGTTCCAGGCACATTAACAGGGAGTTGGATCAGGAGTTGAACTGCCAGAACTCATACTGGTGCTCATAATAGATGCTGGCATTGCAGGCAGAGGCTTAAACCAATATGCCACAATGCTGGTCCTACATGTGTTTGTTTTGACAAGAAGCGAATGAGAAGACCAAGCTCTTCAGTCCTGAGGTGAAAGCATCACTTTGGGAGGATGGCTGGGTATACGCACGCTGGTGGTGGACTGTTCATGCTGAGAAGGAACGCCAGAGTGGATTTCTACCTGGCAGAGTAAAGAAACTGATGGGGATTCTGTTATCACGTATTGCACGTACTTGTCCTGAAATCCTTCACCAATTCCTCCACTTTGTAGTGTTTATTCAAGATTTATTTTTTATCTGAAAGGCAGAATTACAAAGAGAGTGAGAGATCTTCCATCTGCAGATTCTCGCCCACCCAAGGATGACCACACTGGCTGGAGCTGGAATGGTTAGGAACCAGCAGCAGCATTCAGGGTCTCCTATGTGGATGCAGAGGCCATGAATAGGGAGCTGGATAGGAAGTGGAGTAGCTGGGACACAAACCAGTATCCATATAGGATACCAGTGCTTACAGGTGGAGTATTAGCCAATTGAGCCATCACACCAGCCTCAAGAAGGTAATTTTTATGTGAATGTTATCTTAATATAAATTCTGGAATGATTTAATTCACAAGAAAGCAAAGCAATTGTGTAAACTGGTAGTTCTAAAATTCGTGATTCTGTAATAGTTCCTTTTAAAAAACTTATTTTAAAAAATGAGGGGCAAGGGCTAGGGCTGTGGTACAACAGATTGTTTCATCTTGTGATGCCAGCATTTACTAGTGTGCCTGTCTGAGTTCCCTACTATTCTGACCCAGCTCACCCTCTTTTTTTTTTCTTTTTAGTCTTTTCCCATTTTTTTAGAGGGTTTCTTTTTATTGAAAAGGCAGATTTAGAGAAAGAGAGGAAGATCTTCTACCCGCTGGTTCACTCCCCAAGTGGCTGCAGGGACTGAGAGCTGAGCCGATCTGAAGCTAGGAGCCAGGTGCTTCTTCTGGGTCTCGCATGTGGATACAGGGACCCAAGACCCTGGGCTGTCTTTGATTGCTTTCCCAGGGCCTAAGCAGGGAGCTGGATGGGAAGTAGGGCTGCCAGGACCAGCGCCCATATGGTATCCCCGCAAAGTGAGGACTTTAGCCACTAGACTACTGTACCGGGCCCCCAGGTCCCTTCTAATGCACCTTGGAAATCAGTGGGCCAAGTACTTGACCCATGCCACCCCGGCTTTGCATTAACAGAATGCTGGAACCTACAGCAGAGTCGGGACTCAAACCCAGGTGCTTTCGATACGGGTTACAGGCCACCTAAGTGCGACACCACATGCTTGCCCTTGGTTTTTCTATATAAAAGCAGCAGGGGTGGGTGTTGGAGGCAGTGGTTAAGACACTACGTGGGAGGAGGCCTGCATCCCATATATTATCCTGGATTCCTGTACTGGCACTTCTGGTTACAGCTTTGTTCTAACACCCCGCGAGGCAACAGATGGTTCAAGTAGTTGGGCCTGTATCTCCCATGCTCTACGACCCAGGACTTCTGGGCTTTGGCCTGGCCTGGCTCTGACTGCGGTGAGCATTTGAGCAGTGGGATGGGAAATTTATTGTGTCTGTTTCTCTGTTCTGCCTTTCAAATAAGTAAAATTGAAAAATTGTAAGGAGCAATTAATAAATGCTAAAAACGGAGGAAGCCCTACCCCTTATCCCGCAAAAGGAAGCAGGGTTCAATACAAGTCAATTCCCAGGATGATTCATTACTTACAGTTTTATACTGTCACCATCGCTGTCCCCGCACCCTGATCTAATATTTTTAAAATCTAGTTCATTTTAAATATCCTTGCTTTAGGTGAAGGAGATTGCATTGGGAGCGAGCTTGAGCCCTGAAGTCTGTCTAAAGTATGCTAAAAGGGGATATTTAGATAATTGTCCTTTGAAAGTAGAAAAAATATATTGAGGCATCTGTCACTTTTAGAAATTGGTACCTGTGACAGCCATTTCCTGCTCATTCACAGCTCATTTCTGTTACTTTTCCTTCATGTTTCTGAGGGTGGTGTGAGGGTGGGTCTGTGCTTATGACTCTCAGTAGTAAGTCCAGCTGGGGTTTGCGTTGGGGGCTCATAGTGCTGCTAGTTTTCCATTTTCTAACGGACACTAGTGTTGTGTTTATGCTGCATGCTTCAAAAGCACTTATGACAGATAAGATTTATTAAGGACTAAGTGCATCTATATCGGCTTTTCCCAAACATGTTTAGAAATGTAGGAATATTAGCGCAAAGTGAAGGTCTTAGGCTCAAACAATCAAGAAAATAGGCCCTCGGTTAAGTATGTTTGAGAAATCTAGGTTTTTCCTGTATGATTACTCAGGCCTTTTACTACATTCATGCGAACTTCCTGCCAATTTCTTTTTGACCAGAAAGTATACTTCTCCTATATCTTACCCATGCAATAACTGCTTCATGAAACAAGTTAATTTAAATAATATATACATGTAAGTGTAACAGAAGGAGTACTTGGACTTTGAAATGGTGTGGTCTTCCCTGTGTTTATTTGGTGATAATCAGTTTTTCTGTGGCATGTGAGCTTGGTTATACTCGTGTAAGGATTGGTTTTCAAGGTACCAGGAAGATACAGCATTTTTTATTTGTATGAATGTTCTTTATTGAGGATCAGAAGTATTCTACATTTACTAAATTCAGAGGTAGTCCAGGCTCCTCCCCATACACTTTACAGTCTTAGACAATGTGTTCATTCTAATGTTCTGAATTGCAGTACAAAAGAAAGTCAATGAGGAAGCTATGAAATCACCTGTGAAACATCTATAAAAGGTGTGTAGTTGATATGCTAAAGCATGATACAATGGTCTGTGTACTATAAATATAGCACAGTATCTGCTCAGTGACAAAAATATAAGACTATAACAAACTGAAGCTCCTGTTCTAGGTGTTGTCAGTGTTCAGTGCTCCTTTATACAAATCTGACCGCCATCATCGTCTCCCTCCCCCATCGAAAGCCATCGGGACCAGTGATGTCTGATAACATAAACGTTAACTGCAGTGTTCTCTAGAATAAAACCAGGCTTCTCCATATGCAACTTCACATGACAAAAGCAAATTTGCCTCCGGGTTTTGAGAAGAGGTGCTGCCCCACTGTACATCTGGCGCAGCTGCAGTCTGTGTGTGAGAGATGAAGCACCAAGATCAACCCTGACTGCAGGAACAGGTATCTCACTCCCTTCCCTTAGGGCTGTTAACAGTCACCAGAACCAGAGTAGGGACGTGAGAGAGCCATTGCTTCCTGAAAGTTTAAACATTACGTCACTATTTGAGCCGATCAGTGTTTCATTGTTCAGGTTAATTCTGTCTGTAAGTATGTATTTCTAACATTTTTGAGAGGCAGCAAGATGGAGTGGAAAGTGGAAAGACTTAGTGTTTAGTGTTATATGCTATGCACCTGAGTGCTAATTACCCTTCCTGCATCTGGATAAGCACCAAAGATGGCATCTCCACCACTGCTCCCAGGGGCTGGGACCTCTTCTCTTCCACCCCAGTCGTCTTCCACTGAATTTATCATGTAGATTCCTCTGTAAAAGGAAGCAGGCTGGCCTGAGGATGCCCTCCAATGTAACAGGTCAGAGCCCTGGGAAGGGAGCTGGGAGGGAGCCATGGGGCAGCTCTTGACCACTGTCATAGTCTCCTGCCTGTGTTTTGTCTTTAAATGATTTTGAGACAGCTTACGAATTTTAAAAAGATCAATTCAGGGCCCGGTGCGGTGGCACAGTGGTTAAGGTTTTCGCCTTTCATGCCCGGGATCCCATATGGGCGCCAGTTCTAATCCCAGCAGCCACGCTTCCCATCCAGCTCCCTGCCTGTGGCCGGGGAAGGCAGTCGAGGACGGCCCAAAGCCTTGGGACCCTGCACCCAAGTGGGAGACCCGGAAGAGGCTCCTGGCTTTGGATTGGCATAACATCGGCTGTTGCGCTCACTTGGGGAGTAAATCATCAGATGGAAGATCTTCCTCTCTGTCTCTCCTCTCTGTATATCTGCCTTTCCAATAAAAATAAAATAAATCTTAAAAAAAAAAAAAGATCAGTAAGAAATTTACAGTGAGGCTCATGAGCCAATTGAGATTTTAGTTACTGTCCCTTTAAAATTTGATTTTTTAGGAAGAAAAAGCTAGAAGACCCAGTGGAAAAATTATGTAGGGCTTGATAATTAAGTTTGAGCATTATGAGATTTTATATTTAAGTGGTTTTTAATAAGTAAAAATTCTTTTTAATGTATGACTTTATTATGCATAATAAGTTTGACATGGAAATGGTTTCCAATTGCCATGAATCTCAAGGCATTCACCAAATACCAAGGGCAGTGTGGCTTCTCTCAGGTCCTGTAGAACTGCGTGGAAACTGAATGGCGAGTGCAGCTGGAACTTGAACCCAGGCAGTCTGCTTTGAGTGCTGTAACTGCTGCACTAATTACCCTTGGTACAGTCTTTTTTAAAAGATTATTTTTATTACAAAGTCGAAAATACAGAGAGGAGGAGAGATAGAGAGGAAGTGGAGCTGCCGGGATTAGAACCGGCAACCATATGGGATCCTGGTGATTCAAGGCGAGGCCCTTAGCCACTGGGCCACGCCGCCACGCCCTTGGTAGAGTGTTCTCTTGATGCATACCTAAAAACACTCCTGACAGTGTTTAGTAGTGAACTGCAGATAATCATCCAATCCCCAGCTTCATAAAATGAACTCAAAGCCCTATACAATCTGTGGATGGGACTACGAGCAACAAGCTGGAACACTTTGTTCATTCACTGCCAACCAGGTAGAGGGCTCTGAAGATACACAAATGAATTTTTCAGACAGACTCTTGGCTTCAAACAACTCGTACTCTACTAGGCAAGGCTAATACAGCATTGTAAATCCAGTAACATAACCAGTTTATTTGTCGGGCCAAAAAGGAGTGGCCCTATTCCAGAATGCCTGGCTGGGAGGACTGTTCACAAAACTTGGTAATAGGATTGAAACCTCCAAGTGTTAGTGGGTGAAGGGAGAGTAAAATGCAGTGAGCAGGATGGCTCTGCAGTGCCAGGGACCAAGTAACATGTGCATTCAGTAAGCAGTTGACTGTCGTTCTCTGCAGCCCTCTTCCCCGGCGCTTTGGAGGATGGGCTTGAGAAAGTTAGGACCATGAGACCAATACAGCTATTGCTGTGGTACAGGTGAGATGAGAGGCCTACATTTTGCAACAGAAGGTAGAGTTAATATTTCTAATTCACACCAGCCTACTGGTTGATGGACTATAGGGCAAGAGAATAGTTGCTTTGCAGACACCTCCAAGATTTCTAGTGCAGTGGTACTAGTAACTGAGACGGAGGACAGAAAGGATCTTCAAGAAGCTCAGGGAAAATACCTAGCATGCCGACACTATACATAGATTTTTTTTTTTTGGCACCAAAAATTGTTTTAGTGAACTTTCTTGTATAGCAGGAAGTGAAGTTGTAGAGGCAAAGATCATGCTAAGTGTTCAGCACGATGTATGTGAGGCACCTACGGGTTGTGTCCAGGTGCTTATGTCCAGCGGGCAGTTGGATGTGAGTCTGAAGCTTAGGGCTGAGCTGGATGTTCGGGGTCAACATCCTAACTGCCATGTCCAGGTTCAGGAAGGTGAGGACTCTAGCTCTGGTGGATGAAGTGTTACTTAACTGACCTGTTGCTTGGAGACTCTGCAGACTTGTCATCCCATTGTGGACACCTTTTCCCAGGCCTTGGACACATGGTTCTCTTTTTTCACACTGTTTCTTCGAACATTTGTAAAACTAGATTAAACATTTGTAAAACTAGATATTCCCAGTCCTATGATCATTTCTTCCTTGGCTGAGAACCAATGGCATTCATATATGGCACTCATGGCAAGGTTTAGCATTTGGTAGGTAACTGATCAATGCTTATTTTTGTTGCTTATATCTTCTTTTTCCATGCAAAATTGGCTCCTTTAGTTGTCTTTTCCATTGTAGGAATGTTATTTTTGTGTCTCAAATTTGAGTCTTAGAAATTTGTAGAAGTTAAAGATCAATAAGCAATACTTGATAGGCTGGCATCATTCATTCATTATTGAGACTGAGTCATTCCCTTCATTATTAATACATATTGCTTATTGCATGATTTGGAAACATCCACTTCTCTTTGGGAAGACTGGAGTTGATCCAGTTGAGGTCCCACTAGAGGGAGTTAGAGTTGCAGTAACCTGGAGTGGGTGATCCCTGATTCCAGGTGGTGATGGGGATTGAGTTTCACATTTTACTTTATTTGAAAAATATGTGCAAAACAGTCACTAAAAAGAGGAACAAACTAGGCTTTGTTGCAGTTGAGTGGCTTGGCAAATTTTTGTAAAGAGGAATCATTGGGCATGAAGGATTTGCTGCTTGGGTGGAATCCAGTTGCCCTCGGAATGGAAGTTGAAAATCCTTTTTAAGTGCACTGAAGTTACGGGTTTTCTCTGGAATAACCACCTTTGTGAGGTGTGGCTCATGCCCAGGGACTGTAACCTGAGAGGAAACGAGAAACAATCGTCTGAGTGAGTTCAGATGTTTTGTGGTGCCAACACTGGAAACACTGATAGCCACCACTCAAAGGCAGCCTTTGTGCAATGCATGTAACGATCTGCTTGGCCTCCTGGGCTAGCAACAGCTTCTGCCCTCATGCTGAATGAGCTATCCAATGTCTGTTGATGTAGACCAAAGTGGCTGATGCTGTTGCCAAGTACTACAGAATGAAACGAAGGCAGAGTCAGGTGCCTTATCTGGTGATGTCAGTCAGGAGAAGCAAGCAGTGGATGCGTCCCACTGGCATCATGTTCAGGGAGAATAGTAAGCAGCTGACTGCTCCTGCTTGGCCCACATCTGTTCTTTGGAGGAGAATAACTTTCCCGATTTATTCTAGCTTCTTTGTAGCTGATCAAAGTAAGCACAATTCTATTGTCTCTTGAAAAGATTTGAGGTGACCTAGTTTCATTCCAGATCTTACCTAGATTTGTGGTTTTTGGTGAAGGAAATGACCAGGAAAAATAAGACAAATGCTGAACTAACTGTACGCCTGTCCCCCAGCTTGTTTCTAGGTTCCTTGTGAGTTCTGTGGTGTCTTAGTATCACTAGGACTTGGATACTTACATTTATTGTATAGGACCCAGGCAAGAGAAGCAGATAGTATTCTCCAAATCTGTTGGTTCTATATGGACAGACATGTTTTCGATCTTGGACTTCTACAATTACATTGGGTAATGGATTTCCATCATAATCAAAAACTTGACCTTTTATACCTGCAAAACAAAAAGTTAAATATATTCATAAATATCAGTTTATGGCATATGTGAAGAACCCTTGTTATTTAAGAAAAAATTTTAACTGTTGAGTTTATCAAGGAATAGAAAAGAATTTTTATGGAAAATTACAGCTGATTCGTAGATTAAATTTGTTAAATATTCCATTTACAGCATATATTTTAAAAGTATCGTGTGCTAGCCGATTGCGCAACTGGAGCCACAGTACAGCATGTATTATCAAAACGAGAGAAGATACAGGACAATCTAGGATCTGCTGCGGTTATTTGCAAGTATTTTACCCAGTCACGTAACTGTACTGCAACACACCATAGGTGGGTTCCCCAGCATCCTCAACCAAAATGTCGCTGTGTTAGTTTGCAAGATGCTGATCCATGGAAGAAACCTACATGGCAGTTACAATGTTAGGGCAACTTAAAGCATGGAATTGATGGATGAGGTCTTATCACCAGTAACAGCCGGCAGTGTTTAGCAAGCAGTTTGTATACCCCAGGCTCTCTGCCAAGTCTGTAAAGTACATTTTCTCATTAACCCTGCATAAGAATTCTGTGATGTGGGCAATGTCATTACAATGATTTTATAGACAAGTAAGGCTTTGAATGACTCAATCTGAGGATTAAGGGGTCACAGCCAAAGGAGTAAATTCAGCAATCTCCAGATTCCATACTGATAGGCACTGAAATCCCAAAGTTTCAGGAAATTTTTTTTTTAAGGGCGGAAAGTTCAAAAGGGTGAGCAAGCGTGTCTTCCTCCACGGGCTGACCTCCCAAATGCCTGCAAAAGCCAGGCCAGGCTGAAGCTGGTAGCCTGGAAACTAATCTAGATTTTCCATGTGGATGGCAGGAATTCAAATTTTCAGCCATCACCTGCTGGCTCCCAGAATGTGCATTAAGGAAACTGGGTTGGAAGTAGAGGGCTTAGGATTCAAACCAGGCACTCTGTATGGGACCCAGGCATCTCCTGTGGCAGAGCCACTGTGCCTGCCCTTCATGAAACATTTTGAAGGGCCATCTAGATTTTGAGTTGTTCTTTTCTTAGTCTTCATTTTAAGTGTAAGTCTCACATTCCAGTTTGGTCACAGCAGTGATGACTCCTGTTATAAGGTAAAGGCATCTATGCAGAATGACGGGGAGAAAGCAGAAGCCACAAATGACTGTACGGAGACAGTGATGCTCAAACACTGAGGCACTAAACACGGGGCAGGTGGTTTCCTCCTCAAGAGGTAAAAATGAAATTGAAGTTTTGATGTTTAACAAGTTACTTAAAAAAAAAAATTTCTATTGCAAAGTCAGATATACAGAGAGGAGGAGAGACAGCAAGATTTTCCATCCACTGGTTCTCTCCCCAGGTGGTTGCAACAGCCAGAGCTGAGCTGATCCAAAGCCAGGAGCCAGGAGCCTCTTCCAGGTTTCTAACACCGGTGCAGGGTCCCAATGCTTTGGGCCATCCTCCACTGCTTTCCCAGGTCACAAGCAGGGAGCTGGATGGGAAGTGGGGCCTCTGGGATTAGAACCAGTGCCCATGTGGGATCCCACTGCGTTCAGGGTGAGGACTTTAGCCATTAGGCTACTGCTCCAGGCCCCTAACAAGTTACTTATCTGAATCATTAAGCAAATTTCCTTCTGATGCACGTTGCACTTTGTATTTGCTTCATATTTTCTCAATTGTGGTTGAGACATTGGTGAACTATATAAGCCTGTGTTTTTTTTCCCCCACATTTTATTATTGCTATCATTTTCTGATACAGTTTCATATTCCCTTATCCCCTCCCAATTCCCTCCCACCTATTTCCTTTATATCATTACTAACATATAGTTCTTCATACTCAGTCATATGTCCATCATTGTGGGCATGGACAATGACAGAGAGTCCAGAATCCTATTGTCAAGATATAAACAATTTCACTGTAAGTCCATTTTTGTCTGGAAGCCCACTGCTTTCCTGTGTCTGTCAGTCTCCAGGTACCCCTCTGCTGTTGTTCTGTCCTTTCCTATTTCCTGAAATATGTCTTCTCTGCTTCATCCTGATTAAATGTTTCTCCGTCTGTTTAAACGTGTCCTTACTCTATTCCGCTATCTTGATTCTCATAAGCCTGTGTTTTCATGTAATCTGTTCTTTTGATTTTAAAATTCTATAAGGTTCCATTTATAGCATTTCTGCTATTCAGTTTTCCTTTGAGTCCTTGGGTAGTACCCAACCATAAACTACTAGCAATAATGCGGGGAACCTGGGCTTGTCTTCACTCAGTTTCAGAGGCATTGCTCTCAGCAGAGCTGTTTTGCTTGTGTTTTTGGATGGTCCTTTTATATTTGATAAACAAGAGCTTAAGACAATCAACTTAGTTTGCTGTGACCCTCTTTCCTTCCCTTCCATTTCTAGTTATGGAAAAAGTACACAAGAGAAAAGGCTGGCTACATAAAGCATGGAGCCGAGACAAAGGTAGGTTTCTGGAGCCTTAATTCAACCTTATTTCTTGAGATTAAGAATGCTGAAGAGAGAAATCCTGCCTATTTGTTTCTTCTAGAGTACTCTGAGCTAGCCTGCATCCTCTGGGCCACTCAGAAAACCCTTGCTCAAGGTAACTGGTGGTGGGTGGTGTGATCTATGGGCATGCTTGTTAGCTCACTGACTTCTCTGAAATCATACTAAACAAGCGAAAAACACTCAGACATATGTGACAAAAAAACTAAGCTATCTTGAAAGAGACATGATCCATCCTTTGACATCTCAGATCATGCCGAAACCAAATTTAGGGTGATGGTATTGCATAGTTGGCAGAAGACCAAAAAATGGTGTTACAGCATCCTAAAAAATGGTAGAGAGTACCCTCTTGGTTACTCTTTAATAGACTTTGTTTTTTGCCAGTTACATAAACAATGATTTTGGGTGAGCACAGGTCCCCACACAGCACCCAAGGGTCAGCATGTGCCACCACTTAACGAAGGTCTATAGTCTGCCTACCCTCAAATACGGGGAAGGGGAGAGGGAAGTAAAATACATTTGAGGGAACGTCTAAGAGGATTCAGATTCCAAGGACAGGCACTTGGCACAGCAGTTAACACGCCATGACTTGGGATGCCTGGATCTCATTTGAGAGTGCCTGGTTGGAGTCCTGGGCTCTGCTCTGGAGTTCAGCTTCCTGCTCATGTGTATTTGGGGGGTAACGGGCACTGGCTCAGGTAGTTGGGTCCTTGTGCGAGACTCAGATTGAGTTCAGGGCTCCTGGCTTCAGCCTGGTTCATTGTGGGCACTTGGGGGAGTGGACCAGTGCTCCTTCTCTCCCTTTGAAATAAAATTTTTAAAAGATTTGTTTTTATTGGGAGGTCAGATTTACAGAGAGAAGGAGAGATTGTAGTTAACTCTCCAAGTGGCCACAATAGTCAGAGCTGAGCTGATCTGAAGGCAGAAGCTTCCTCCAGGTCTCACATGTTTGTGCAGGGTCCTAAGGCTTTGTGCAATCCTCTCCTGCTTTCCCAGGCCACAGGCAGCTGGAAGGGAAGTGGAGCAGCTGGGATACGAACCGGTACCAATATGGGATCCTGGCAGTTGCAAGGTGAGGATTTTAGCCACCAGGCTACCACGTTGGACCCTGAAATAAATTAAGATCTAAAAATATTCCCATTCTAATTTGACCCTCATTCATTATCCTCTAAAAACCTCAGGACTCATTTCCATATGCCTCTTACCCAAAGCTAAAGACGGTGCAACTTTCAGAAGCCCGGGTAGCGGCACACCACTGTCACTGAACAAACACAGAGCATGTTTCAGTATGATTTTTATTCAAGGGAAACCCCCCAGCCAGCCAAATGGAAGCTTTTGTAAGCTGTCACTGGTCTTTACAGTGTTGTGTCCAAGTACCACTGAACCTTTCCTTAGAGGGAAGTAAATGTTTTACCAGAAGACATGACTTATTTCTGTAAGCCACAGGTGACACTGGAGAAAGACCAGCAGACCCCAAGGGATGCAGAGTGGAACACAAAATGAAGTTTTGAACAAAGCTCAGATAACAAAGCAGAAGACATACAACTTGAGACAAATTCCATGGCCGCCTCAACGGAGAAAGGTAAAGAAAAGATTCACTTCATGAATAACAAGGCAGTGCTGAGCCAGAACAGGGACTCTGTTCTGCAGGGAGATGGTGTGAACAAGCCGCTTCCCACGTGTGTCCCAGCTCTGACTCCGAATTGTGGCAGACCAGAGTCCCCGTTCCGGCCCATCACAGTTGCCACTCACTTTGCATCTGATGACTGAGTCATGCCTGTGTTCCACAGGCTCCTGGGAGTCAGCACATCCCAGGCCTTGGGGTCAGATCTGCTTTAGCAAGTCCAGGGATGACAAAGCAGCAGCAGGTGGCACTGTGTCCTGTTTGTCAAAGACAAGGTAGCTAGAGCAGAGCTTTGCCTGCCTTTGGTCTGCAGACGCTGGTAACCCCCCTGAGCATGAGTTCAGGTTGAAGTCTGCAGTGAGTTCTAAAAGAATTGCCCTGTTGGAGTCTTAGAACAAGCCACCCCAGGCCTGGAAGATGGGCTGCTTCCAATTCCCAGTTACGGAGCTTCAGACAAGCACTTGCTCAACAAAACACAGCCCCCCAAACCCCGGCCAGGCCTCCCATCAAACCTCAGGCCTTGCCTTCCCACACAAGAGGTAGGTGTCTCCTCAGCCCCTCAGAATCACTCTGGCAAGTGGTGGAACCCAACCCAGTGACAGATACCATGGGGTTCCCAAAGGCGGAGCAGAGGCAAGATAGGGCTGTCTGCTTTCAGTAGTCACACAGACTTGGTTCCTTGAGTACTGAGAGAACCTTTCTATGAAATAATCACCTTGGATCAGTTTTTTGAAATGTTTCATGAAACTAGAAAAGCCCCTGTATTTAACCACAAGAGGACAGGGTTGATGATGTGCCAGCATATAGTTATATGTATTTCTAATATTGATGTCATCACACCCGATTACAAGAATTAGCAGGTAAAATATCCTTTATAGAACCAAGTGCAAGCCATCTTGTGAGTCCTCCAAATTCATAAGAGTTGCATAATGTGTGTTATTTACCAGTTTCCAAAAGCTGCTTACTGGCAATACTACATCAGCATGCTCAAAAGTTTGCAAATGATTATTAGTTAAATGGGAATTTTGAAAATAGAAGTGCAGTTACACGGAGCATATCTCATGCTCAGTAGCAGTCTCATTTTGACCCTGATGAAGATTGGATTCTAGAAAAGAGGCAAGAACAACACTGAGAGACCAGGCTCAGTAGAAACACCATAGATTAAATTAATCCATGCCCCAAGAGGTCCATCTAGTGGGGCATGGAATGCTGAAATACTAGGCAAAAGAAGTCTTGAAAATGTGATAACTCAGTATTGGACTTTTCTCCTTCCTCACTAAGTGTTTGAGCTTCATTGAGAGGTTGGTAAGATGACATTTTGTAACAGCCTCTCTCACAGGGACTCGACCTTCACGACCTTCACGCCTGAGCTGGCGCGTGGCCCCATGCACTTCTGTTCAGCAAGGGAGGATCTTTACTGTCTCTGCCCTTGCTTTTTTGCCCATGCACTTCCTTCCCCATCCACTTCCTGCTTCAGTGTGAAGCACTTAGCAAGTTCTGGGGATGATTCAGGAGGCCCGTGCACATACACACTTTCCACTATGGATCAATGTGGCAGTATAATGGTTCTGCCAGTTCTAACCTATAAGTCCATTCTGAATGAAGAAAGAATGGGGCATTGTACAAGATTCCACAAATCTTGTAGTGGAGAGCCACTACTGGTATATAAACTTGCCCTGGATATGACTTCAGGATTGTCACAGGTGGCATTTTTCTGCTAATCCATCTTTTCCTAAACACATCTGAACCAGAATTACCAGACCCATCTGGGGACATGCTCTCACCTCAAGGAGTCTCACCCAGCCATCCTGGAGACGGGGCTGCGGTCTCCTGGAGCAACCCTCCGGTGAGTCTGCCACACATGCTCGTGAGTGACCACTGGTGTACCTCATCTAGTTTGTCCATCTGGGATAGAGGCTAGAGAACTGGAAAGACTCCTGGTGATGCCATTCAGCATAGATGAGGAGCGGAAGGGGCTAAGGCTAATGGGGCTAGGTCACTAGCTCAGTTCTGGAAGAAAATGCAAGAAGTGGCAGCTGGGTCTGTGATATTAGGAGGGAAATGACAAGCAAAGCTGGCTTTTGCCTAAGCAGGAGATACTGTTAACAGAGTAACCTGTTTTCCTGTTCTTTTGCCAAGTTAAGGTCACTGGATGTGTAGAGCTACTGTGGGCTTTTACAGAACCACATGAAGTTAACCTGCCTCACTCATTCTCTTGTGTGAGTGGATGTATACTGCATTTCTTACATAGTGCAGAAATTCCTGCAGACGTTGCATTTTGAAACGTTATTCCTGGCACTGTGAATGAGATTACACCTCAAAAATACCAACAGCAGCTTGTGTTTGCTCAGAGCAACCGCCTCAGCAGATGCTACACTTTGAGTTAAGGAATTAACAAGAAAAACCTTACAAACCTAGGTGCACCTGCTTCATGTACTCAATCAAGGAGGCTTTGTTGTCATTCCAGAAGAAGGGCAGTCTGTCCTCAGTAGGGTATTTACAGCATGACAGCTCCAGCGTGATTTCAAAGCACTGGGCCCAGACATAGTTGTAATCTTGCATTCCGCCTAAACGTAAGCACAGTTCATTTTCGTTAGAATTTGTTGTGGGAGGGGAGCCAAGCATCAGATAACTTGGAGACAAACGAATGAGACAGCTAGAGGGAGGGCACTTGTAAACAGGAAAAGAGGCATTTGACATTGACATATCAAGTTAGGGCTAGACATTTTATTAGCCAGGCATGACCAGGCAACCCTAAGTGTTCCCATATGGCAACTAGACCGGTGGTGCTTGCAGTTCAGCTGTGCATTAAAGTTAAGTGAGGGGTGGAGGAAGGGTCTGTTTCTTTTTGAAGTTTCATATTACAAAAAGATTCTTCAAACTACATTTCTTCCTTAAATCATTTTCAATTCATATAAACTAGAGTAGGATTTCTTTAAAAATATTTCCATAAACAATCCTGTACATTTAGTACCAAAAGCTAAGTGCACTGGTTTGGGGGAAACAGTGGCTGACACTGACCCATATTCACTAGTGCTAGGTGTTATTCAAAGCACTTTGTAGCAATTCATTTACGCCCCACAAGTCACCATCCCTATCTTACAGAGCAGGAGGTAGCCTTCGACTACACGTGACTTCTTCCAGTGGACAGGCCATCTCAGTCCCAGACCTGGGCTCATGGACGCCAGCTAACTGTGTAAGAAATGGTTCAAGCATTTGGGTCCCTGCCACCTCCATGGGTGACATGGATTGATTTCCTGGCTCTGAGCTTTGGTCCGTCTGGCCCAGCAGTGACTACTGTGGCTGTTTAGGTAGTAAAATTGGTGGATGGGAATACAGTCTTTACGTTACTCTGCCTGTCAGTATCTTTTTAAAATCTTAGATTTATTTGAAAGAAATAGTTATGAAGAAGGGAAGAGACAGATCTTCCATCTCTTGTTGAATTACTCCTCAGATGGCTGCAACAGCCAGGGCTGGGCCAGGCCAAATCCCAGAGCCAGGAGCCTCCTCTAAATGTCCCACATGAGGTGCAGGGGCCCAAGAGCTTGGATCATCCTCTGCTGCCTTTTCAGGCCCATCAGCATTACAGGCTGAAGAGTTGGGACTTGAACCAGCTGGCAATGTATGCAGCAGCTCAACCCAATGTGACACAGTGCTAGTGCTTATTTTTATAAAGTGCAAGATTACCTGAGAGCTACACATCCAAGGAGGACTCAGAAGTGGGCTGCATATGGAGATGCAAACCTCATCTTGTTCATGGAAGGGCCAAGCTAATCATGCTAGAAGGAAACACCCATGTGCTCCAGCCTTCTCCCTCACTCCTGCCCTTTCAGCCCAGGGCTTTCTGATCTGCTTCACCACCACAGACTAGGAGATGCTCTGTTACCTCGGGCCTCAGTTCATATTATCCTTTGGTTAAGGACATCTCTCCTTCCACACTCCTTACACAGCAGTGTCACCTCCTTCCTTACCTGGCCATCCTGTTCGGAGGATAGACAACTGGAATCTCACTTTGCTACATGAAAAACTTGAATAATCTGCAAAGTGATTTTAAATTCATGGCAGTTCATGTCACAGCCAGCTTTCACAAACTGGACCATCTGGCAATGTTGGCTCCCTCCTGTGGCATAATACTTAGCTGTAACTCCTTCTCTTAGCAGAGCCCTGGACACAGTATTACTCTAAGTCTCTCACTGATTCCCACTCAGTTTTGGTTTGGCATCCCTGTGGTATACTGTGCCTTTTCTAAGTATTTTTTCATTCATTGTTTTTGGATACAATTTAGTTGGCGCTGGGCTCTCCCTCCCCCCTCCAAGTTCCCTCCCCTTCTAACTCTATTTTTATTCCAGTTGCACTGCTGCCAGTGATTTGCTTGCATGTCTGTCTGTCTATCACACCTGAGACCCTGAGACTCAGATCTGCCTCTTGTTCACCTTTTTTTGGCATGATTCCTGGCTCTAAGGAGGCACATGCTTAACAGGCACCTGAATAAGTGAGTGAAGGCAGCACTTGGCAGTGAAGAACACATCTAAGCATCTCTCAAAAAAAAAGCAAGTTGTCTCTACTGCCCCTGAGGTGTTAGCTGATGGAGACATGATGGGAAGGACTGCATTGTGCCTCAAGATCTTTTGACATTGCTGGGTCAGTCTAGCCTAGCCCAGCAGGTACTTCTGGGTGTAGGCAAAAGAGAATGCAAGAAATGAAGAGCAACTCACCTTGGAGTGGATACCAAAAATATCCATTGGTGACTCCATTAGGAAAGTTCACTTTGTTTTCACACTGGTCTCCTTTCTTCATGTTAGGGTTCATTGAGGCATAAGTATTTGCAAGATATTGAAAAACATCATCATCAGGTGTTAAGCTTCGGGAGAGCAATGCTCCAGTTGCTGCATTTGAAAGACAAGCCAACACCTATCAGTTGACTTAGGGAGACAATAGCACATCAGCAGATACAAGCCTCCCAGCACACAGGGCTCTGCGTCCCCACCCACCTGTGTGTGTGCACGCTCTGCTCTTTCTACTTTGTAATGAAGGGAAACAGAACTGTGTCAGTTACACATTCAAACTGTACTTGATTGTCACCCATTTCTGGTGATCAGTAACTTTATTCAAGCATATTATGGGATAGCTGAAGCCACTATGATTCTTTAAGTTCCTTGGGACATACTTACCCCATCAAGAAGGGTCAGCCAGTGACTGCTCATTGCAAAGAAAAATCGGGCTTAGCGCTATAGCCTTTTGATTTACTCTAGTTCTCCCCTTTCACTGAGGAGTGTCAGGTGATTGGTGGCATGATGTCAGGGAGAATGGAGGAGCCTAGGGGTGCGAGGAAGCCCAGCCCCATTCAGAGCCTGCAGCTTACAAGGCCAGTGCTTGGTTCAATGTCTGCTTACCTTGAACGCCATTATCAAACGGGTAACTGGCCACAAGGGCACCACCATGGAGGTTCGCTGAGAGGACAAACGTCTCCGTTTTCAGCCACTTCATGACAGCCAAGGTTTCGGGCTGCCTGGTGACGTTATTGTATTCAAAAGCATCAGGGAAATTTCTGTTCAGGTCATATTGGTTATAGTTTTCCCTTAAAGAAAGATTTGTAAGGTTTTAGTCTGGGTGCCAGATGTTTTCCCAAACACAGGTGACTGGGCATGGTGAGTGATTGCTCTGGTGGTCTGCAGTGCGTCACACCCAGCATTCAGCCTTCACGCCCTGTCACCTGTAGGACTAACTGCTGTGATGAAAGCCCAGGTTTGATAAGAGGTTGCAACGTTCAGTTTTGCTTTTAGGACACTCTCTCAGGGCACAGTATTAGCTTGGGGAGAGCCAACACAGAAACAAGCTGTGTGACAGCAAGAACTGGGCTGCCAGACACAGGGCTCCATGTCTGTCTCACACAGCCTGGGCTGGCCGACTGTGATGAGCCATCCTGCTCTGCCTAACTTCCCAATTCACAGACCATAGATCATTCATTTAAGAAATTTAAATTTTGTGTCCAGCAGTGTGGTATAGTATACTATTGCTCGTTTTGTAGCAGTGGTGTCCCATATGGGCACTGGTTTGTGTCTCAGATGCTCTACTTTTTTTTAAGATTTATTTTTTTATTGAAAAGGCATATTTACAGAGAGGAGAGACAGAGAGGAAGATCTTCCATCTGATGGTTCACTCCCCAAGTGGCCTCAATGGCTGGAGCTGAGCCAGTAGCCAGGGGCTCTTCCGGGTCTTCAACATGGGTGCAGGGTCCCAAGGTTTTGGGACGTCCTCGACTGCTTTCCCAGGCCACAGACAGGGAGCTGGATGGCAAGCGGGGCTGCCGGGATTAGAACCAGCGCCCATATGGAACCCCACTGTGTTCAAGGTGAGGACTTTAAGGACTACGCTATTGCGCTGGGCCCAGATGCTCCACTTTCAGTCTAGCTCTCTACTTAGGGCCTGGGAAAGCAATGGAGGATGGCCAAGTGCTTGGATCCCTGAGGCCATGTCGAAGATCCAGAAGAAGCTCCCAGCTCTGGATTAGTGTAGTTCGGATCAGGCCTCCATTGTGACCATTTAGAGAGTGAGTCACCAGATGGATGATCTCTGCCTTTAACTCTGCCTTTCAAATAAAAAGTTACAAAGCCTTTTATTCAAGACAGATTTGTCACCTCCTGTTCCCTCCCCAAATGTCTGTAACAGGGCTGGGTTGGGTTAAAGCAAGAGCCTGGAATCTAATCCAGATCTTCTGCTTGGTGGCAGTGGACTAGGTATTTGAGCCTCCTGTTGTGTGTATTAGGGAGCTGGGATTGGAAACAGCGGAGAATCTCAAACCAGGGTCCTGGTATGGGATACGAGGGCCCCAGTGGCACTTGAATTCTTGTGACAAATGCCATCCCCCATAGCTGTGGTTTTAAGTCACCGAGGTTTGCAAGATCTGTCACACAGCATTTGACAACAAATGGGATCAGGTTACTTTGTACAAATGTTTAAAACTGAAGGGGAACTGGAAGTTAAATTGTTCCTTTGGAGGAGCAAACAGCTTTAAAAATTGCACAAATATAAATATACATCGCACACATAGGCAAGTCTGAACTCTCTGAGACAGCTTGAAGCAAAATAAACTTGAAATCAGAATCATTACAAGCCCCACTCTTTGTGGTTTGTTCTTTGTTGGCTTCACGGATCAATCACTATGATGACCCTGGGGACCGGGCTGGGCGATGGGGAGCTTAAGCAGTGAACACAGGGAGCTTACGGCTTAGTGGAGAGAGATGCAGTGAGACACTGGGCACTAAAAATCCTGCTCTGAGCTGAAGGGCCAGGTGACCTGAGTGTGTTTGGAAGGGGTCTCCTATACAACAGGTGGGGGATGGAGCCTTTGAGGAAATGCCATTTAAGCATCAGGTGGGCATGCAGGGTGGGAAATGGCAGGTGCAGTATACCTGGGAGCACGAAGTGCCTGGTGGTTCAGGAGCTGAAGGGGCCCATGAGGTCCATGCAGATGATGGAGTGACAAAGGCAGGTGCAAGAGTCAGGATGCCTTATCCAGGAGGTCACTTCTCATGCTCCAAGCTTTGGGCAGCCCTGGAGGACTTGCTTACATCAATGAGAAGACTTAGGCTCTCAGGCACTTAACTGTTTTGGCCCAATTATTATTGTTTTTTAGGATTATTTGATGGGGCTGGTGCTGTGGCATAGCTGTAGCATAGCAGGTAAAGCCAATGCCAGCATCCCTTACAGATGCTGGTTTGAGTCCCATCCGCTCCACTTCCAATCCAGTTCCCTGTGACTGACCTGGGAAATCAGTGAAGGATGGCCCATATACTTGAGTCCCTGTACCAACCTGGGATACCCAGAAGAAACTTCTAGCTCCACCTGACTCAGCCCTGGCTGTTGTAGTCATTTGAAGGTATAAATGATCTGTTTTCCAAAAAAGTAAATAAAAAAATTTAAAGTTTTTATTTATTTGAGAAAGTTAGATCTTTTTCACTCCCCAGATGGTCATAATAGCCAAGGCTGGGCCAAGCTGAAGCCAGGAGCCAGAAGCTTCTTCTAGCTCTCCCACAATGCTGACCCCACCTGGCTGCCTCTTGACAGGCCCAAGCAGTGCTTCATGGGAGCCTTTGTGCTTCATTTTGAAATAAAGACAGGTCAGGGCGGCCTGTTCTTACCTTCCGTTGCTGTAATAGCAGTCGGGATTCTTGACCGCTTCGAATCCATCTGGGTTCATGGAAGGCATGATGTGTATCCGGGTGCTGTTGATGAGGTTGGTGATTTCAGGGTCCTTCCCGTGGTTGGTGACGAGATAGTCAATCAGATGGAGCAGCAGCTCCCGCCCCACAGTCTGTTGGAGGAAAGGAGGGCATGCTAAAATAGATCAGTTGTTAGAACAGGGCCCAAAGCACAGTTTACCTGTGGGGCCTCCACGCACACACTGAACCAGGACTCGCTGGTATGACTCCCGATTCTCAGCCTGCTCATCATCAGGCTGCTAGCAGTTCATCGCGGGGAGTGCCAGGGGTGCTAAAGGGCTCATCTGTCAATTGGGCTTGTTTTCTGGAGAGGTAGGAACTGGAGTCACAGAGGAAGTGCAGGGCACAGTGTTTCTTTGGATGGCCTACAGGGTATGAGAGGCACCCTGCGTTCCTAGGGATCCCAGGCAGAATCCTGCATGAAGCATCATAGGTTATAACTACTGAAGAATTTCAGTTATTTGATAAGGTAGAGTATGAAAGAGACACACATCTCCTGTCTGTTGTGTTGGTGGACTGTGGCTGGGCCGGATTGAAGCTGGGAGCTGGGAGCTTGATCGGGGTCTTCTGCATGGGTGGCAGGGACCAGGTGCTGCACCTGCTACCTCCCAGGAGGCCTATGAATCAGTAACTGGAACCAGAGCGGAGCCAGAACTTGCCCTCAGGGGCTCTGATGCAGGATGTAGGCTTCCCAGGCCTGGCTTCACTGCTGTACCACGTGCCCTCCCCAAACACCAGATTTTAATAGAGAAATATCCAAGTTTGTAATAAGCCCTACTTTAAATAGATTCCATATTTCTGTATTTTCCTACTCCCAAATTTCCCGATGTCCAAATTCTGCTGTATTTGTTTGATTTTTGGAATATCTACATTTCTGGTTTCTTTTTTTTTTTTTAAAGACTTATTTATTTTTATTGTTAAGTCAGATCACAAAGAAACCTTACGCAGAAGGAGAAATAGGAAGATCTTCCATCTGATGATTCACTCCCCAAGTGACCGCAACGGCTGGTGCTGTGTTGATCTGGAGCCAGGAGCCAGGAAGTTCCTCCAGGTCTCCCATGCAGGTGCATTCAAGGTGAGGACTTTAGCTGCTAGACCATCGCGCCAGGCCCTATATTTCTGGTTTCTATAGTCAAGGTTCCAAAATTTTCGTTAGTTGTTCATGATTTTTAAACCATATCTGTATATTATTTAGATACTATTTTTTTACTTTGTATTTTTTTAAATGAAATTTCTATTTAACATTAAAAAGGGGGCCCGGCACAATGGCATAGTGGCTGAAGTCCTCACCTTGAATGCATCATGATCCCATAAGGGCACTGGTTCTAATCCCGGTGGCCCTGCTACCCATCCAGCTCCCTGCTTGTGGCCTGGGAAAGCAGTGGAGGACGGCCCAAAGCCTTGGGACACTGCACCCGCGTGGGAGACCTGGAAGAGCTCTTGCTTCCTAGCTTTGGATTGGCTCAGCTCTGGCCATTGCGGTCACTTGGGGAGTGAATCATTGGATGGAAGATCTTCCTCTCTGTCTCTCCTCCTCTCTGTATATCTGACTTTTCAATAAAAATAAATAAATCTTTAAAAAAAATTTAAAAAGGAAGCTTTGTAACTTTACCCATTTGCTAGATGTCTTAAAAGAAAAAAAAAGATGTAGTTTTATTTGAAAGACAGAGTTACAGAGAAAAGGAAAGACAGAGGTCTTCCATTTACTGCTTTACTCCCCAAATGACCACAATGACCAGAGCTGGGTTGGTCTGAAGCCAGGAGCTTCCTCAGGGTCTCCCACATGGGTATAGGGGCCCAAGCAAGGACTTGGGCCATCCTCTACTGCTTTCTCAGGCCATTTAGGGAGCTGGATTGGAAATGGAGCAGCTGGGACATAAAATGGTATCTTTTCTTAAGGAGTTGGAGTTCACATTGTAGAGTGGGTAACACTGCCAGTGGTATTGTTTTAAGTCCCAGCTGCTCCACTTCCAGTCCAGCTCCCTGTGAAGCACCTGGGAAAGCAATGGAGGGTGGCTTACATTTTTTGGGCCCCTGTATTCATTCGTGGACTCAGAACCTCCAGGCTACTGGCTTCAGTCTAGCAAAGCCCTGTCCAATGTGGTTTTCTGGGGGAGTGAACCAGCAGATGGAAGATGTTTCTAATTTTCAAACAAATAAACCTTTTTCTAAGTTCTAGTTGAGCCTCATGCCAGGAAGATTCAGCCCTCTGATTCTAGGCCTAAGGATACTGCTTCTGAAGACCAAGATGCTGCTAAGGGTTGGCAGGTGAGAAACCAGGGCTGCTCGTATGATCAGGCCCAGGGCCACAGGCACTGGTGTGGACTCTGCAGAGGTAGGGTTTTAGTGGAGCCTCCACAGCAGGAGTCCATCCCCACCACAGGCTGTGCAGCCCCAGTGACTGCTTCTCCCCTTCCTCCCTCCAGTCCTCTCACTGACACATCAAGAGGCCCCAGTTTATACATTTGTTACCCTAGTGAACACAAATAAATGAAACAGACTAAGAAAATTGGGGACTTGTGACACACACTTTAAAATAGCCAGAAGCTTCAGAGTAGAAGTTCAAGTATACTCAGTTCTGATGCCACCATTTTCCTTACCATTTCTATCTTCCTCATCCATTGACTTTGATTTTTTACAGTGAAGACTGTCACCAGAAAAGGTTCCTATAAGGTAGTAGCCAGAAAACCAGGCTAACCTTACACAGGTGTCCAACTGTAAGACAGAAGATGTTTTGCAAATGGAAATACTGCTCAAAGTCAGGGAGGAGCCGGGGACCGTGCCTTGTGAAAGATGGATGAAAGAAAAGGGGAAGAGAAGTAGAGTGCTGTACACTTCTTGCTCAGTATTTGAGAGAACACGCTCTTTGTTGGTTCACTCCCCAAATGCCCACACGCCCAAGGCAGGGCCAGCCGATGTGTGGAGCTGCACATCCAATCCAGGTCTCCCTGGTGGGTGGCAGGAATTCAATCCCTTGAGCCACCATTACCTCCATCTCCCAGGATGTTAGCATGAAGCTGAGATCAGGAGCTCAGAACCAAATCCATGTCGGACAAGGGCGTCTTTGGGAGGCAAAACTAGCCAGCCCCCCAATTTCTGGCATTTTTCAATGCTGATAGAGACCATGGGACGATTTAACCAGGAAACCCGCAGGCCCATCTCTGTGTTAAGTACAGAGCAAGCAGTGACAGAACCCCTGTGCTTCTCCAGGTGGATTTCTTAACTTTCAACCATCCATTCTCAAGTGTGCAGGAATTCAGCACATGAGTGGGCAATGACGTTGAACCAAGAGAAGAAGCCACGATTAAGACTCAAGGGTGAAGCTAGAACCCAGTGAGATGTGGAGCAAGTGTGGCTGTATGTATACAGTATGAACTACATAGGGATTGGGAGCAGGTGTGCAGCATCCTGGCTGGGACGTCCACAGCCTACACCTGCGTGCCTGGTCCGTGACTGGCTCTGGCTCCAGCTCCCCAGGGCAGCTTTCTGTCCAAACTTCCCCCGGGAGGCGATGGTGGTGGCTCAGGGTGCTGGGCTCGTGCCACTCTCCTGGGAGACCTGGCTCATGTTCCTGGCTCCAGTCCCCGCCCAGGCCTAGCTCTAGTTGTGGGCATTTGGGGAGTGAGCCAGCAGATGTGAGTTTACTGGCTCTGTCTGTCCCTTTGTGTTTCAAAAGATTTAAAAAAAAAAATAAGTTTATTATAAATAGCCAGGATGAGACTCGGAAGAGAAGAGGAAGTTATTTTCAAAGTGCTAATTTTTCCTTTTTTCATCATAAAGATACTATCAAAAGTTAAAATGTACTTTAAAATAACTGCTCTTTCAAAATATTTAATTGTTTAATCCACTGATTCACTCCGAATAACCACAGTAATTGGGACTGGGCTAAGCTAAAGCCTGAACGCCATCAGGTCTCCCATGTGGGTACAGGGACCCAAGGACTTGAGCTACCTTCTGCTGGCTTCCCAGGTGCATTAGTAAGGAGCTGGATCAGAAGTGGAGCAGCTGGGAGTTGAACTAGCGCCCACATGGGAATGGAGGTGTCACAAAAGTCGGCCTAATCCACTCCACCAGAATGCTGGCTCCTCATAATTTTCCTAACACTAGAAAGATATTTTGATGATCAGTTTCTTTTTGAAAAAAAAATCAAGTTCGCCAATTTGTTTTCTGTTTATAAATTCAAATCAACATAAAATTTAAACTTCTTATTTAAAGATAATACATATAGGGGCTGGTGTTGTGGCCCAGTAGATTAAGCCACTGCCAGCATTTCATATCAAACAGTTTGAGTCATGGCTGTTTCATTTCCCAACAAGCTCCCTGCTAAGATAGCTGGAAAGGCAGCAGAAGGTGGCCCAAATACTTTGGTCCTGGCAGCCATGTCAAAGACCAGATAGAATCCTAACTGCCTAGTCAAGGCTTGGCTTCCCCTTCCTGCTGTGGCCATGTGGCCAGTGAGAAGCACCTCCCTGTGTCCTTCCCTTATTACCCTGCCTTTCAAATAAAAGTAAAAATCTAAAATAAGGCAGAGTGCTGGAGCCGGGTACAATGGTATAGTGGTTCGGTTACTGCCTGCCACACCAGCATCCCATATGGGCCCTGATTCGCATCTCAACCAGTCTACTTTACATCCACCTCCCTGCTAACGTGCTCGAGCCTGGAGAAGCAGCAGAGGAGAATGGCCCAAGCACTCGGGCTTCAGCACCCATGTGGGAGACCTGGATGAAGGTCTTGGCTTTGGCCTAGCTTCACCCTAGCTGTTGCAACCATTTGGGGAGTGTACCAGCAGATGGAAGACCCCCCACTGTCTCTCCCTGTGTAAATGCTTTTTAACATGCATACACACATTTTACTTTAAAAAAAATCATCTTTTAAAGGCAGAGTAACAGAGATGGAAACGAATCTTCCATCCACTGGTTCACTCCCTAAATGTTTACGACAATCAGAAACTCCATCTGGGTTTCCCCATCAGAAGGAGCAGGTCCTCAAGCTCCGGGGCTTCCCGTGTGGTGCCTCCCTGGTGGGTTAGCAGGGAGCTGGATGGAAAATGGAATCGCTGGGCTCGACCAGCACTCCAGCGTAGAATGTGAGC